TCATTTTTGTGTAAAAGATTTTTTTTACATTTCATTTAGATTCGTTTTGTTGACTAAAAATGCGTATGAATTGATACCTACCTCTCTTGTCATCTCACGTGATTATTTTTCTCGTAAAAATTCACACTCCTGCCTTTCAAATTTGGCCGACATCTTAGACTTCGGGCACCAATTTTGACCGGGGGGCTTTTTTGACTTCAATAATGAAATGTACGACTAAAATTACATAGGAAATGACATATCACTTGCCTTATCACGTAAAAATTTGAAAAAATACACCCTCCTGCCTTTAAAATTTGGCCACCATATTGGATTTGAGGCACCAATTTTGACCGGAGGACTGTTTTGACTTCAGTAATGAAATCTACGACTAAAATTACATAGGAAATGACATATCACTTGCCTTATCGCGTAAAAGTTTAAAAAATGCACCCTCCTGCCTTTCAAATCTGGACGCCATCTTGGATTGGGGGCACCAATTTTGACCGGGGGGTTGTTTTGACTTCAAATATGAAATCTGCGACCAAAATTACATGGAAAACGATACCTCACATGACAAGATATGCACAAGTGAAAATACCGATATTCCGGAGGCCTTATTATGGGCGCCATTTTGAATTTTAGGCATTTTGAGGGGTGCTCCGGGATCGGACAGTGCTAGCATTTTAGGATACTGTTTGAGAGAACCTATTAATGACGTTTACTTAGGTTTTGATCACATTTTACATTGTTAACGGCGTTCTCACGATGATCCAACGCGAAAATTCGGCAAAACATAGCGAAATCAGGGCCCCCTCCCCCCCGGCCCCCATGGCCTCAGAATTTTGGGCTCACTTGCGAAATTGAACCTTCTATAGGTAAAGATGATATCCTGAAAGTTTCATGCTTTCTTCCAGAAATGCACGATTGTTATGCTTATCCGCCCTACTATTACTAGCGATTTTTACTTACACGAAATCAGGCAAAAAAAGTCAGTACCTACCTATGTTGGAGTTTTTTAGCCGTTTTTTGTGCGTTAAAAAGCACAAAAAAAGTGCAAGTTGTGCAAAACAAAGTCCCTGGGATGAAAACCCTCTGATTTAGTAGGTTTCTTGCTCATAGCGAAAAAAGCGATTCCCAAGTAGCAGTGATCGCGTAAACAGCGATTTTATCGGTTGATTATCGCGATTATATCGGTGGCAATTTATCGCAATATTATCGAATAAACAATTCCGACTTACGGCGATTAAATCGCTATGCATTGCAATTTTTTGTTCAATAAAATTGCGATCAATTTTCGTCGATAAAATCAAGATTAAATCGCCATATCTCGCGATTGTTGTTGCGATAATATCGCGATAGATTATTGGGCGATAAAATCGCGATTTTATTGTAACAAGATCGATGATAATCGCTCAGATGTTCATGACCTTATAGCGATTTTATCGCCGACAAAATCGCAAAAAATCGCGAATTTCCCGTTGAAATATGCTACTTGGGTGCGAGGTCAGACAAATCGATTTTCAGTCATCGATGTTGAACGCTTCTTAAAATTCTTGAGAACAATGGGTCAACATTTCAAGCCTAAATTTGCATCATTAATGATGTTGTGAGCGTTTGAAGTGAATTTTTTCTGAGGCAGATGGCAGTGCCGGTAAATTTTGACAGCGTGTTTCTGCATCGTTCCATTTCTAGTCTTCAAAATTTGGATTGCTTCCAAAAGGTCAATATTTTGAATTTTTGGATCCCCTTGACGCTAAGCTTATATGCGCAGCATTAACGTTAACCCCTCTGATCTGTGATATAATTAGCCTCATGTTTTTCTGCTTCAGGACCTTTTTGTATGACTCCAATAATGTTTTAAGTGTTTTTAACATTAATACACTCTTCCCTGAATGAGTGTCGACGGCTCGCTTTTAACCCCCCCCCCTCCTCCCAAATCGCCATTTATCGCGCAAAAGCGCGTTTTTATCGCGATAAGATCGAGGGTCATCGCTCAGATTTTGATGATCCTGGCGATTTCATCGCCGATAAAATCGCAAAATGTAGCGATTTTTCCCTTGAGAAATGCTACTCGGGTTAATGCATTATGATAGCAACTTTTTTTTTCTTTTTTTTAAAAAAATTATTTTTATCATAGAATCGCACATTTTAATGTAACTTATTGTTAGTCATAATAATTATTGCTGATTTAAATGATTGATAAAATTAATCTGCATGTGGATAGGGTAAGCACTTTGCAATACAACGATTGCAACTAGACCAATCGTTTTATTGAGAAAGACTGCAACTGCAACACAAGGAGCCCCTTCAATTAGAGAATCGACAACATGCACAACACTTCGAAACAGAGGCAACGGGGAATTTATTATAGGTAACCTGTGTTATGTGCTCCTAAGGCCACGATAAAGTCAATACTTTTTTCTTTTTCAAGAATTGCAATTGGACCCTCTTTGTTCCATTTATCCTCTAATTTTACTCCAATAGAACTTGATTGGTCTTTCGCAGCACCTAGACAAATGATTTTTACTCTTGATTTCTTATTTTAATTTCTGCTTCATATAGTTGGGACATAGTTAGTGAAACTACCAGACCACGTATCTCTTTTGCGATGTTTAAAAATCTTTGCTCCCATTTTATTTTTCTGAAGGAGAACAAATCAATATAATTTCTTGAAGTTTTCACGGAGTTCTCCTCGCAGAAATAAGAAAAATAACGGAAGTTTTCAAGAATTGATACTGAGTAGTTTTCCATTTATAAAAAAAAGTATGACAAGAGGTCTGGAATGTCGCAAACCAATGTACGCAATGTCTGCTAATTTCACCGTTGACCTGTGCTCTAGATTAAAATATTACTACAGTAATTTCCTCAAGGTGGATTGTCAACTGATGAAATATAGAGTAGCTAGATCAATTATTAAAACTTGGGTGCACAGGGCGTACCTATTTGAGATATTCTATTGACTAGGGAATTTGAGAAAACCCATAAAGGCAGATTAATAGAGCGAAACTTGTGGCTTAGGTTGTTTCCAATCATAAAAGTAAAGGTGTAAACTTAAATAAAAATGAGACCAATGAATGAATTTTTGAAGTTTATTCAGGTGTCTTTTAATATTTGTGGAACAAAATAGCAAAATGTTTTTACAAGGTACCTATAGTAAAGGTTTTTGCACATTAACTTAAATAATACTTATCAATACCTAAATATACTATATACAAAGTAAAAAAAAAAACAGATTATTAACCAAAAAGAAGTTACAGAACATTCAACATATATCATGCCAGCACCATGTCTTTGAGTGAAATTTGATCATTAAAATTTTAAGAATTGCACCTGGATATGTTTTTTGAGAAATCTGATCATTTCGTACAAGCCTCTTCATGGCTTCTTCCCCAATTTTGTAGATTTGAAAATTTGGTGTGAATTAAAACATTACTGTGTTTTAAAATGAAAGAGTGTTAAAAATGCAGCAAAGTTTTATAAGAAAACACATTTGTGTAACTCCTGGAAAATGATCGAAAACGAAAGTAGAGAATTTTAATTAAGTTTCATCACAAATTTAAGTAAGTGTGAAATTATCAACTGAAGCTGCAAACTCAGCTGTTAAACATTGTAAGAATTTAAAAAGGTGCAATGTCTATTTTTTTTCTCCTTTTTCTTTAACAACACTATTTGACCTTACATTTCATGACATTTTCATCATTCTTAATAGGTACAATATTATAATGACTCAGACTTGATTCACTCTCGACGATTATTTGATAAGAGCACTTGTGAATCCATTTAATGAGGATGGATAGCTGAAATATAAAATTAGTAGATGCCACAGTATATAATCAAGTAAATTTTTAAAAGTTTCAAAAAATAAATTATTGCATTAAAAATCTTAAACGAGCTGCAGTTAAAAAAGAGGTTTTATTGAAAGGTGTATAATTTAAACAGGTGGACGCAATAGGAAATGTCCCTTTTCTTAGATTTTTATTTTGTGAGCAACTACAGGTATCAATAAAAGCGTTTAGTACTATCAAAGAGCAAAGGCAGTTCTGAATTTCTCATAAAAAATTTCCACCATGAAAGAGGTAAGATTTTAATTTTCCTATGCTTTGACCTTCACAAGCTAGGAATAGATTAAAGTCCGCTGATTAAAATTGATTCGAAGCTAAAAATAGGAGCAAATTTTGCGGAACCACAGAAAAGTGAGCAAAAGTATGATCGATGATCTTTCGTCCACCTTCTCTTCTCACCTCACTATTTTCATGCTATGAATTTTCGCGCAGCAGATTGATTAAAGCAGATGTAGGAATGAAGATAAAAAAATGGCAGCAATGGCTATTTTAAGTTTTAACACCATATGAGATAAACCTAACTGATACGTGACCTTCACTTTTGACTCCCTGGAGCATGAGATTAAAGAGAGATTTTCAATGCAGAGATAACAAATGTTTATTATCCTAAGTAAATTGATTGGAATTATTCAATGAGGCTAAAATACATTCATTAGCCTTAAATCACTCATTAGATTGAGCACAACAGGAGTCTCATTAAAAATGTGCGTGGAAACAATCTGACACAAAAACAAGTAAAAAAAATCATGGTGATGAAGTAGGGGACCGAGGTTCATCATTCTAGAACCAATTGGAAAAACTGAGAAATTAACAAGAGAAAAAGTATGATCAAACATAGAGAGTCATTTGCATACAGTAACTTTAATGAAAGGGTTTACTAGAATTATTTGATGCGTTAAAAAAAGAGAGCAAAATTTTCACAGTGAGTAATGAAAAATATTTAAAGATCAAGGATTCAATCTAAAAGCATACAGTTAGAAAATATATTACCTTTTGCCGTTTGGATATCAATAGAGATTCAGAATCTCCAAAACACTGCGTGGTAATGAAAAAGTAACTGAGAAAAAAATTTGAAAATTCAAAATTTTAAGGGTACAAATGAAAGTAAAATGAAGCTGCTCACTACCAATCAAGTTAGGTGTTCTTAAAGAACAAAAATGAAGAAGATTTTAATGACTAACACTCTCAGTGCTTCCATTTTGTAGAAAGAAAAAAATATATACTTCATTGCATAAAAAACTAGTGCAAAAACTATAGAGAAGTAAAATTAACAAATAAAATAAAAACAGCATTTTAATGTTTCTGTATAACAGAAGATAACAAGAAAAAAAAGACTAATACTCTGTTTGCAGACACTTAATGATTAAAATTGAATTAGAGACTAAAAATAACAGTAATATCACAAAATCATAGAAGAGAGTATGTACCTTGCAATTTCACTGCATAAAAATAAAAAACTTAAAAATCACCACAAACAAAACCTACATTCATTCATTCATGTAATTTTCCAGATACCTATTTTCTTTTGAAGAAATTTGGACGAGTGTTCAGATTTCTTTTAAAGAAATGTTCTCTTAAAGAAATTTGAACGAGTGCTCAAAGCAAGGATGAATTATGTTTAAATAATGAGAGGTAAAGCAAAAATTGTTAAAGTAATTTCAGAGGAGAAAAGACAGAGAAATGAAAATTGAATAAATTGTTAATAGAAAAAAAACCTTTGATCCAGCTTGTTCTACGTTTTTAGAGTATTTTTTGGCAACTTAAAAGAAAAATTAAACTACACAGAGGCATAAGGTTCTTCTCTCGTACGAGGCTGCCGGGCTGATGGAGCACTTTATCATGTTGGGCCGTTGTATGCATACATTCTGAGTAAACTGTTTGATCACATAATCAACTCTCCTTAAAATTACTTCCTTTTTCCTTGGCTTCTCATTGATCAAACATTAAAAAATTTAGAAAGCAAAAGATGAAAACATTCACCTTTCCTCAGATGACAAAGGCAATAAGTACCCGTATAAATAGCGACTTAAATAAAACTTCAGTTATTTTTTGCATCGTGTCCAACAGACTTTCACTTGTACCAGGCTCATCTTATCAAAATTACAAAACCTTTAAGACTAATTGAAACGGTGGTCTATCATTGAGCACAGAAAATGACATTTTTCTGCCAATTATTTTAAAATTTACCTTAAAGCTCTCAGTTTCTTTTTATCAGTTTTTATCAGTTTTCTGCAAAGCTTTCACTTATGAGTGTCCAAAATTATCATTCTAACAATTGTGAAAACTTAAAATACAGTAGAGAATTGATAGAATGATTCCACTCTACTTCATTAATGTCCCCAACTTAGTTCTCTTTCCTCTGATATTTTTGGGAAACGTTTTTTCTTCTGAGGTTTCACGCCCTATTGACATTCTGAATACAGGAAACAAAGGCAAAGGTAAACAAAGGAGCCTGATGACAGGTTTCGAAAACTGAGTTGTAAAATTTGCGCACATTTCCCTCAGATTGGAAATTTGATCAGTAAGAAAAAACATCTTCACTTCAAGCTTTGATATTTGTATTTGTTAGAACTATTCCAGCCTTTGGTCGAAGATGAACCTCCTCAAACGGAACCATATCTCCGTCTTGGTAAATTGAATTCATGCTGGACACATAAACCATTAATTTTGATGCAGGAAGAGCTATTGACTTCCGTAGATCTAAAGTTTCAAAACGACTTCCAAGGTTAACAATAGTAAGGAAAAATGAATCTTCGTATGTCCTTACAATCATGATTACCCAGTCTGATGGGATGATGATGGCTAGTTCACCATACATCAGTACCTTGTGTTTAGTCAAACCGACTAATTTACGGTAGATTTTAAAATGACTTTTCGATTCAGCTAGCTGCTTTTGAAAGTTGAAGTGCCAGTAACCGGGATGAACAGGTAACCAAGTGTCTTTGTTTGTGGAGAACCCTGCACTTACTGAGCTATCCCACAAAAATGGAGCGCGTTCCGGATCACGGGAAAATTTCAAGTACCGGTCTTTGCCTGCGTTGAGACCTGGTGGATCAATGGTTTCATCCCAGCGAATAAAAGTATTCTCTAATGCAAGTTCATCACCCATATAGGTGATGACAGTGCCAGGTAATAGAAATTGGATCATATGAATTCCATCCACAAGTTCTCTACCATATCGGGATGCAACTCGATGCTGGTCATGGTTCCCGACAACCCAGTTTGCCCATTTACCCGTTGGCATGTTTGAATACCACAATTTGATTACTTTTTCGAAGTCAGATGCATCTGACTGACGATTTAAATCAGTAATAAATAAGAAGTTGAAAGGAAAATGAGCTCCATTGTGTGTTGTGTTCCCGTAGTATTTCATCACATCTGAAATTGGGGAATACGCTTCTGTAGCCATGAATCTTGTCCCAGTATGAGCACTTAACAGTTGAGAGGCCATAGTGTCATCACACTCAATAACATCATTTTCAGAGCAAGGTTTTTTGGACTTAGACGACTGACTTGAGTAACTATCCAAAACTTCTCGAAATTGGTAAATCATATCAAAGGTTTCCGGTTGGTCAAGCATGTACTTGTGATTGTAATAATCAAAATCTGTGGGAAGATAGCCAGGCTTGAAGGATCGGGGCTCGTCCAAAAATCGGTCATCTTCAAAGATAGTGAAAACAGCATCCATACGAAAGCCGTCAACTCCTTTATTGAGCCAAAATCGGAGGATTTCCTTCATCTCTTCAACAACAAGAGGATTACGGTAGTTCAGATCAGGTTGTTTATAATGGAACTGGTGGAGATAATACTGCTGCCGCTGATCATTCCACGTCCAGGCAGCACCACCAAATTGGCTAACCCAATTGTTCGGCGGATGGCGGACTCCATCAATGAAACGGCCGTCCTTCCACACATAATAATCTCGGTAAGGAGTGATATTTTTAACAGAATTTTGAAACCATTCATGCTCGTCACTTGAATGGTTGGGAACAAAATCTAAAATGAGTTTCATCCCATGTAAATGGAGTGTGTTCTTCAATTTTTCAAAATCATCTAAAGTACCAAACAGGGGCTCAATGTTTCTATAATCAGAAATATCATACCCAAAATCAGCCATGGGTGATTTAAAGATAGGTGAAAGCCAGACGGCAGTAATACCTAGCTGTTTCAAGTAGTCAACTTTTTCTGTGATTCCATTGAGGTCACCAACTCCATCGCCATCGCTGTCTTTGAAAGAGCGGGGGTATATCTGATAGAAAACTCCAGTTTGCCACCAATCCAGCGGTTCATCAGCTTTGAGAAGGGATGGATGATAGACAAGGAACAAATTTAAGATCAGGATGAGCTTCATGATCCCACTTGAATAACTGAAACAAAAAAAGACAAGTCTTTTAGTTATAACTCATACTATCGTACTTTGAACAATCCATCAAAAATCTTTCGAAAAGTTATTAAAAATCAGGAGCAGAGGATTATACTTGAGGGTCAGTGATCCGAGTACAAATTTGAACTAAAATATTGTCCTTTACACCTGATCAGATGTTATCCAGCAGGTGCTTAGATGCAATCACATCTAATTCTTTGAGCATGCTCAGCATAGGAATGGGGTGATATTTTTTAACACCTCTTTCAGGGTGTCTACCTAATTATCGAGCATTGTAATTCAAAGATTTAATTAATCCTCCTGAAAAAAGGTATCAGCTATCGTTGAATAAAAAGCTTTGATTTTAAATTTAGATTAGAGCTCATGAGGCTTGATTTGGTTTAGAAAAATAAGCACTTTGACCACATTGCTTCAAAAGTTTCTTTCATGTTTTAAAATTTCAAGGAAATATCATTGGATAATTTTTCACAAAAATTTTGGTGGATAATCTGGATGCAGCATCCTGCTCTGTAAAGCATTACTGATTTGATATTGCCTTAACATCCCCTCCCTCCTGCAATATTGAAAGAGGATAATGAATAAAAATTAAAACTTAGGAAATAGAAAGCAATATTATTGGAAGCTTTTAAATCAATATTGACGGTTGGACTTGCAAAAATAATGATTAAGCTTTTCTTTTTGACTGGATGATTAATTGTACCTACTGTATCCAGGTCAACACTGCAGCTTGAAGGGGGGCAATATATAGCTGAACGGTATTTACATTTATGATTACAGGAACAATGCCTGAAAAATTCCTGCAATAAAAATTTCTATCTCAGAAGTAATATTGTAGCGATATTATTTGAAAATTGAAGACCAATTTTGACCGAATGCTTTCCTTCTTTTCTTTGGTCCTGATTTATTATTATTATTTTTTTTTTTTTGCATAGACAATCCCTAGATGGATATTTCTTTACCATGTTTTTTTTTTTTTTTTTTTTTTTTTTTTTTTTTTTTTAAGTGGCATTAAGTATAAGTGAAAATGAGAATTAGAGAAAAACTCAAGTACCTTATTCCTGAAAACACACAAAGCAAGAAGGAATGTTTTTAATATTTAACAAACAGTACACCTAATTCATATATTTTTATATTTTTTTTTTAATATGAGAGGGAAAACAGAGAAATGAAATAACTTACTTACCACTGAACTAAGAGTCAATAATTAGGTAAATAAAATCACTTATAAGTATTGCTCATCACAATCTTTCGGAGAGTTTCTTAAAAATTAAATTGTTTAAAGTTCACAAGGAATAGGAGTAGTTCACTTTAAAAGCTACCGGTGATGTAGACGAAACACTGAAGACTAAACTTTCATGTAATACTACAAAATTAAAGAAGGTACTTTATCTTATCAGTTTACAAGTGTGCTCAGTGAACGAGGATAATCTAAATATATGACTGATAGCTTGGAAACTGTGAATTATTTGGCGGTTGGCTACTCGGTTCATGCTCAAGCAGATCAAACGCACTAGATCAACTGATAAACAGAGCCTGGCTCTTATATGTTAACTTCAATCCAACGTAAGATATCTAGCAGATTGCGTCAATTTTATCTTGACTTATGCATCATGAATTCACTTCTATATCTTATCTGACGTAATATTTGTGTGCCTCGTATTTGTAGACAGACCGGCATGCAAGTCAACAAAATTTTAGACATGAGTACAAAATTCATAATATGTGGCAAGTGCATCATTACGCTGTGTTGCCATTTCATGTAGGGTTGTGTTTGTAATTAAATGCATTACTAGGATCGAATTTAGGAGGAGAAATGCTTCATTAGCATTGATTTTCTTTAAAAATTGCTGCAACAGCACAGAGCACAAGTCACACTTGTGCAGCAGAACAGTTGCACTTACCTCAAGTATGCCCCAAATAAGGCCTGTCTGACTAGAATTAAAATAAATACATGCAGAAAAATTTAAAACTCTTACCGAGATTGTTCAATGTAAATTGGTGAAATATAACGGAGTTATTTGTGTGTTTCATAAACAAAATAACACCACAGTCACTTTCTTGCTGTAAGCGGGTATGTGTCACGGAGAGGGTAAAGCTCTCAATGCACGACTCAAAATGTTACATAAGTGTAAGAATACTGACATTGGAAACTGGCAGGCACCTTAGACAAAAAAAAAAATACGAGTGCATTCAAATGAATTAAAGGTAAAAGATAAAAGATCTGTAAAAGAGGAGCGAGGCGAGTGGGTGCCTGGGTGGATTGTTTTGATTAGGGATTGAGGTTAGGATTCAAAAAGCAGCGTTGCCGCGTCATTGGTGCTTTTCAACAACTTCGACGTTTTGACTGTTTTGACTGTTTTGACTGTTTTGACCATTTTTTCTGAACGAGCCCAGAGTTCCGCTTGGATAAGCCGTATATAAACTTCGAATGCTTTTTCGCTGGAAATCTTCAGACTTAAAATGCATGTTTTGAAGATCAAAGTATCTCTAAAAAGTAATGAGTCAAAAAATACGAAAGGGACATTTTAAAAAAAATCTGGATTAATTGGGAAAAATTGAAGGATTCATTGTGTATCTGTCATGCAAAAATAATGTATGGTTTCTTGATTCGTATGTTTTACTACCGTATTTTAAAATTGTTCTTTATTTCTTTTTTTCCTTTTTTCTGATGAAAAAGCGTCCAATTGCGGTATTCCGCAATTTCAACTCGCATCAATTTTCCACAGAAAACCTGATATATCCCTAGCAAAAGTTCATGGAACTTTGCGCGGAGGTTAGGTTTATCAGAAATGTACGAAAAAATTATGAAAGAACGAACATAAATGTGGTATTTAATAATTTTAACTTCCGCCGCACCGCGCTGACCGAACTGTGTTTTTGCGCAATGCGTGAAGTATTCATGCAGTCTTGTAGGCGCTATGAGTTTCGCGTCGACCGCCGCGCCGCGCCGCGCCGCTGGCCGCACAGCGTTTGACGTAATGCAGGGAGTATTCATGCAGTCTTGTAGGCGCCATGCGTTTCGCGTCGACCGCCGCTGGCCGCACAGCGTTTGACGTAATGCAGGGAGTATTCATGCAGTCTTGTAGGCGCTAATACGTGTTTCATGCTAACCGCCGCGCCGAGGGCTTCTCCTTTTCATCTCAAGTTCTCGTCATCATTGCTCTCTGCGCTGCGCCACGCCATTTCAGGCCAAATTGTGTGTTTGGTTCCTCTCTCAACTCGACTAATTAAAGTTGATGTCTCTTGTATCACCGAAAGACGACAAAATTAGAAAGGGGTGGGTGCAAAATCGACAAAATTTCCCCCCTCATGGATGTTGACCAAACTTCAGTATGTCATTCCTCACTATGAGATACGCCTTTTCCCAAAATTTCACGGCCTGAAACGAATTTCTCTCCGCGTAGCAGCGTTGCCAAGTTGAAAACCGTCGAGTTCCATATCTTTTGAACGAAAAGAGATATTGAGATGCGGTTTGCGCTAAAATTCTCCAAAAATTGCGTTCTTTCGATATATGTACTCAATTTGATCGTTTAGGTAATTTAAGATTGCAATGATGCCATTTTTCACACTTTCTTAAGGGTCAATTTTTTTTCAACCCTAGTACATCATCAAATGCCGGATTCTCGATTCGAAAAAAAAACTGTTCATTGTATTATTCGTACTTTTCCATTTCTTTTGATATATTATAGCTCCCAGGGAAACGATTAGTAACGGAGATATGAGCAATCTAAGTTTACGCTCCGCGCGCGCCGACCGGAATCCGGGCGCCGCTCGCCGCTCTGAGTCGTCTGCACACTCCCTTTCTTAAGCTTCACGAGGTCATTCCTATGTATTTTTTTGCGTACTTTCCATTTCTGGCCTTTGAAAAGGGCTCCGATGAATTTTTAGGGGCCTCGCGGTCCATTGTTGCCATTTTTTGCTCGTATTTAGGGTTTTTTCCCTATTTTACTCACAATTCTACTGAAAAACTTAATTTAAACGGAAAACTGTGTGCGTTGAGGGAAAGAACGTAAAGAAGAAATAAAAATTCATGTAAAAATTTTTCCTTCGTTGCCAAATTTTCGAGAAAAATCGTACTAAAGAGCCAAATATTTGAAAAATTGGATAAATCCCCACGCCATGGTTTATGAAAGTGGGGCATAGCATTCATATTGACGTACTTACGTAACATATCTTACCTATCTATACAACATATTAAAAAAGCATAGTTGTATTTGGATTCCCACGATCTGAAAATTGTCCGGGATGTCACCTTTTGCGGTCTTTTCTTATGTGTAAGGTAGATCTTTTGAATGTTTTTCGACCTTTAGTCATCCTCCGTAGGGGTGTATCGTATGTATTTTTGCTGTAATTTTCATTTTTGAAAAGGACGTAAAAAAGTACATCATTAACGTTCGTTAGGACTTATTCTTACGTTGCCAAATTTTCAAGAAAAATCGTCCTAAAGTGCCAAAAATTGGATTAATTATGACGAAGATGTCTCTGGGAAAGTGAATTATGACTTCGACTTAATTTTATAATTATAATTTTAAGTATGACTTAATGCTTCGGGCCACTTCCTCAAGATGAGAGGCAGAGAGGCTGCATGAGAAGAGAATCCCACAATTGAGGAGCATTCCGGAAAAAGGGCACATACGCGTATGTGCCCTCTATCGGAGGTGACAGAAATGGATTCCTTGCATCCTAATGTACCAATGCCCCGAGTTTCAGCTTAATTGATCAATTTTTGGAGCTACGAGACCACGTTTTTTGAGGCTCGTAAACCATGGCGTGGGGATTTATCCAATTTTTCAAATATTTGGCTCTTTAGTACGATTTTTCTCGAAAATTTGGCAACGAAGGAAAAATTTTTACATGAATTTTTATTTCTTCTTTACGTTCTTTCCCTCAACGCGCACAGTTTTCCGTTTAAATTAAGTTTTTCAGTAGAATTGTGAGTAAAATAGGGAAAAAACCCTAAATACGAGCAAAAAATGGCAACAATGGACCGCGAGGCCCCTAAAAATTCATCGGAGCCCTTTTCAAAGGCCAGAAATGGAAAGTACGCAAAAAAATACATAGGAATGACCTCGTGAAGCTTATAAGAAAGGGAGTGTGCAGACGACTCAGAGCGGCGAGCGGCGCCCGGATTCCGGTCGGCGCGCGCGGAGCGTAAACTTAGATTGCTCATATCTCCGTTATTAATCGTTTCCCTGGGAGCTATAATATATAAAGAGAAATGGAAAAGTACGAATAATACAATGAACAGTTTTTTTTTGAATCGAGAATCCGGCATTTGATGATGTACTAGGGTTGAAAAAAAATTGACCCTTAAGAAAGTGTGGAAAATGGCATCATTGCAATCTTAAATTACCTAAACGATCAAATTGAGTACGTATATCGAAAGAACGCAATTTTTGAAGAATTTTAGCGCAAACCGCATCTCAATATCTCTTTTCGTTCAAAAGATATGGAACTCGACGGTTTTCAACTTGGCAACGCTGCTACGCGGAGAGAAATTCGTTTCAGGCCGTGAAATTTTGGGAAAAGGCGTATCTCATAGTGAGGAATGACATACTGAAGTTTGGTCAACATCCATGAGGGGGGAAATTTTGTCGATTTTGCACCCACCCCTTACTGTGCTCTCAGGAAATGAGAGTTTTCGTCACTTTTCTCGTTTGTAATTTTATTTCTGAATCCGATTTTTACTTTCTCGCTCCCCTAGGTTTTTATATACCTCCATTTAAAGAAGTGCAAAATTTGCCGCCCCTTAAATTTGCCGCCATGGGCCGTGGCCCATTTGGCCATCCCTAAATCCGGCCCTGATCATACTCCACAATATATACAATCATAAGCGTGACGCATAACGCATAACGCCTGAGATGCGAAGCGCTTCGAAGGGGTGGACTGCGAAGCGATGAGGGGGCGGCGGGAGGGGGTCTCCTTAATTTTTTTAATTAAAAATATAAAGCATTGAGAGTAGACCATCTGCATCGTCGCAAACCAGTATACAAGGTTTCAGATTTGAACCTCAATATATTCGTCTTTCACTAATTAAAGTCGAAAAGGTATGCCTCGACAAAATCGGGTCGGGTTCAACATTCACAATCACGTATCAAAGCGTGCCGACTTTTTAGTAGTCAGCCACTATTCACGATGAAGAAAGTATTACATAATTCATAAATCAGCGCTTCTCCGACAGTCATCACAACAACAATCCGCAATTCGCAATCGACGGAGCGTTGGCGCAAAGAACACTGCAAATCATACCTCGATGTGATGGTTTTTATCTTGGGATCGGTCTTTTTTAGATATGCACCAAAAATAGTCATAGTTTGCAAAATGTATACCTCGTGCTGTTCACGTGTCACCTGCTTTGAGGAATTACTCTAATTTTTCAATAATAAGGAAAGTCTTGATACCATGCTTAAAAAAACCTCCCGCGAGCACGCGAATATACGCAAAAGCACGCTTTTCACATTTGCGGATTTCTATTTCGGTAATACTCTGCCACCTGATATGGCATATACAAATACATCATTCAATTTCAAATTTACTGGCGTACTAAGGATGATCAAAAATGCAACGACACTCCCTCTATATCGATTCAAGATGATGTTTCATGGTTTTGGCTCTTACTTAGGTTATTTTTTCAAAGGAGATCGAACAAATCTTATTTATTACTATCCATTCTTATTAGGAACTCAAAGAAACTTCGATTCTTCAGCCTTGTATTTTGAGCCTATTGGAGCATAGAGGGCACAGAGAGGGCATAAAACTTGCATTATATACTTTTGGGATCTCGTGCTGTACGCGAAATAAGTATAATAGATCAGGGTTTCCTCAAGACTGCGGTTTTAGAGTCGCAAAATTCAATATAGACGCAGTGTAACATGTCTACGATGTTTTAATATCCCCGCTTCTATTTTGTTTTATTAAAGGATAAAAATCAACATCATACCCACATTGAAGTTTCCATGGACCTTTTTTTCGCACGGAGAAGAAAAATAACGGCATTTATTAATAATTCCCGTCGAGTAGTTTATCAATTCAAAAGATTAAGTTTTTCAGGAAGTCTGCAACGTTGCAGACCGAGATACGTGGTTTGGGAGTTTCGCTGTCGATACATGTAATATCGATTTGGGTCGTGTCACAGGTATTGAAATACCAGTAACTTGCTCTTTTTTTAAATTTATAAATTTTCTATTCATATTCTGTTCAGTCATTAGGGATGGCTGGATTTCGTTCATTTCTGTCTTTTTCACGTCTATCTCCCAGCCATCACCTACAATCACCCATTACTTTAATTACTGAACTTGCAACTGATAGCTCCACTCATTATAGCCAGCCAATAGCGCGTAGATTTGTTGTCTCACCACCTGTGACGTCAGCAAGTCTATAAAAGCTTGCGCTGCCCCAAAATCGAGGTCTTTACTCCATCCCCGACCCGTACTAGTACGTAGTGCCTTTTTCGCCCTTTTGGCACATCCTTTAGTGACTATTTCAATTCTTGTAATTCTGTAACTTTTTCTCTTTCGGTTAATATATTCGAAATTCCATCTCCAAAATTTCGTTATTCAATTTTTCCGTGTAGTTTGTTGTTCCTACTCAAAGAGCAACTGGTGCCGAACGGTATTTCCAACTCACATTTATGACAGGTCGACATTTGTGGACGTAGTCTTTAGTTCCAAAAAGTTCGCTACTGGTATCGGCAACACTTATTTTATTTGTTGTGGATTAAGGTCCCTCACTGGAAAAAAAACACATTGGATTTAGAGTCCAGAGAGTTTGACTATATGGCAAGGGAGTTGAGCCATGAGCCATTGAAGTCGAGGATGCCCAGACTGGAGACTCTTAGCATGTGATGACGGAAGAAAATGAAACGCAGTAATTAAAAAAATCCCTCTGTACTGAAAATCTTGAAAATAGATAGAAATTTTCCAGGAAGTATACTCCTTTGAAAATTTAAGAGGAATTCTACAGTGCCCCAGCGTGTTTCTGAAAATCTATTCACCTTTTGCGAAATTTTAAGGGTAAATTTTTCACTTTTTCTTACGAAACAAGGGTTGCATGTGAATTCGTAGTGGTTTTTCACGGGTAACACGGGCCCCCTCCGGGGCCCGGGCCCCGGTACCAGGGACCCAGTCTCCCACCCTTGTGGCGGGCCTGCCTTCATGCACGCTGGGCTTGTCGATTTCCTTTGACATTTTTGCAGTGGTGAACACATAGCTGAAGTGCGCTCCAGCTAGAATTGTATTTACAAATGGGTGGTCTTTCTACGAGGATTAAAAAAAACGAGTGGTACGGAATATAACAAAAGAATATGAACTATGCAAAACGATAATCCGGGTATCGGAACTTGGCTGATTTGAAAACGCCTTCAATTGCGGCGTGATACCTCACGCATTCCGGAGAGTTCAAATAGTTGTATCATTGCGCCGTAAGAATGTGACGGAAGATTTAAATGGAAATAGCCTCCATGCACGCTGGGCGTGTCGATTTCCTTTGACATTTTTGCAGTGGTGAATGCATAGCTGAAGTGCGCTCCAGCTAGAATTGTATTTACAAATGGGTGGTTTTTATCGGAGGATTATAATTAAACAAGTGGTTAGAAATGGAAACAAAATAATATGAACTATGCAAAACGATAATCCGGGTATCGGAACTTGGATGATTTGAAAACGCCCTCAAATGCGGCGTGATACCTCACGCATTCCGGAGAGTTCAAATATTTTTATCATTGCGCCGTAAGAATGCGACGGAATATTTAAATGGACATAGCCTTCGCATGCAGGCTCGCCACATCCCATCTCGGGCCCTAGTACCAGTTTTAAGGTTCGGGCCCCAAGCACGGAGGGGGTGGCGTCCGAGGGGTATCCCCCGAGAAATTTTAGAATTTATACGACTAATCGGACGCATTTTGAAGCTTCCATAAAGAATTTTTCCATCAATTTCTGGCGGAATAATTATGTTTTTTTTTATACTTTCAGCACAAAATACTTGCAAATTGTTGCATTCAAAACATCTGGAAAAAGTTTATTTATTTTTTTTTTTTTTTTTTTGGGGGGGGGCATATGATACTATTTTCAGTTCTAAGAGGGCCATGCCCCCCTGGACTCCCCCTCCGTTTGTCTATGGCAAGGGAGTTGAGCCATGAGCCATTGAAGTCGAGGATGCCCAGACTGGAGACTCTTAGCATCTGACGACGGAGGAAAACGAAACGCAGTTACTAAAAATATCCCTCTGAACTGAAAATCTTGAAAATAGATAGACATTTTCTAGGAAGTATACTCCTTTGAAAATTTAAGAAGAATTCTACAGTGCCCCAGCGTGTTTCTGAAAATCTATACACCTTTTGCGAAATTTTTATGGTAGATTTTTCACTTTTTCTTACGAAACGAGGGTTGCATGTGAATTCGTAGTGGTTTTTCACGGGTAACACGGGCCCCCTCCGGGGCCCGGGTCCCGGTACCAGGGACCCAGTACCCCCTCCCCCCTTGTGGCGGGCCTGCCGAAATGTCTTTGCATTGTCATTACTCAAGAGGCATGGAGGACAAGGCGCGTAAGTGCAGTTTTTGAAAAAATTGAGATAATACCGATTTCAAATGAAACTAGTCTTAACGCGTATTCCGTGAAAAATTTGCTCCCAAATTAGAATTTTTAAGCATCAAATAGTCAGTTTGAACTCTCTCCCCGCCATATAGATCCATGTAATTTCGAAACTTTAAACAGTTATTTCTCAAAATAGCAAAAACTGTACTTATGCGCCTTGTCCTCCAAGCCCTTCAATTATCAATTCCGCAAATCTTTGCCGATATCGTTCTAAAATCCCAATGTTTGACAACATCTCAGCGATTCTACACCTTATAATCCAAGTTCAGACTTTTCTTATGGTTGTCGACATTGTGTGTGCATGCAGCACGGCGTTGCGTTTTGACAAAGAAATACAGATCGCCTTCAAACTTTTGCGCATGCAACACGCGCATCCCCAGAGCACGAATAATTGTATCCATGCCCAAAGCTTTACATGTCAGAAACAATTTGGCGCGGCGCTCTCCTGCCAGAGAGGTACAATCATGCATGTAAGCATGTGCGTCGTTTTTAAAGATGTTTAAACGCATAAAACATATAAATAAGAATCAGTAATTCATTCATTAGTTTAAATGGCTACTTCTTTCCATAATAAAACTCGAGTCAAATAAAAGTTAATTTATTTTAGTTTGCCATGATCCTTAAGGTATAAAAGCAGATCTTCTGGGAATAATTTACAACAATCATCAACATTTATATCCGCGAGTGAATAATTATGTATCGTTTTTATTAGGGACATATCGATCAAAAGAAGAGTAGCTATGTGAGTTGGTTACTTCTTTTTAACAATAAAGAGGGGAACATGTCTCCCATCCCTTCTGAGATTCTTACGGACCATATTTATTTTTTTTAGCTGATCTGATGCCTGTAGCGTGTTCAGAAGTCATATGCACGGCGATGTTCTCATCCAGTTCCACAATCAACGGGCTGAAAGCTTCCAAGTAGCTCATTATGACCTCAGTGTCACCTTTTCCTGAAATAAAGTTAAAGAAAATCTGTCAAAAAAGTGTTTTTTTTTAAAACGAGAGGATTTCCTTCAAATCCATCCCAAACAAAACAGAATGATGAGAAAATCCTCCAATGAAAGTTCGAGCTTGACGAAGTTTTCGGTCAAAATTAATTCAGACATCTCAGATTGAAAATACGAAAGATGAACCATCCACGGCTTCCATGTCACTCTTTCTATGCGCGCAAAGACTGAAGTTATGCCACTAATTTTGCTGATCAATGGACATTGAAACTTGGAAGGATCCTCATACAATTTTACGATCCTCAGACACGAACACTTGACTAAATGTAAAACATAAGTACATACCTGGTGCCCAAAATCTAGCTCGTTTTTTGATAAGATCCATGCCGTCACCTCCATTATACAAGTACTCGGACATTATGATGCGATAGTATTTGTGTGGGAGAAGCGGCTCGTATGCTGGCACAGGACATGTTGAGCATCGTACGAAGATGTCCGAGACTCGCTCTCCTTTCGGCTGCGTCATGTTGAATTTCGCTTTTACACCTGAGACAAAAGCAAAATTCATTGATTTCCCTTTAGAATGAATCTATGCCAGATTGCGACTTTAAAATGGACGTATTTCTATCAAACGGACCTAAGCGCCATGTGGTGAGGAAGGTAGAGGGGGGCTTGGATTGGCGGCAGAATCGGGCGTGCGTCCGACTTATTCCGTCCTATACTCGCAATGCTTTTCCATGGCGCTCAGGTCCGTTTGACAGAACGCGCTATCCGGGATTCTAAATTCCTCAAAAGGAACTCAAATTGGCGCTTAGTTCCGTTTGATAGAAATACGTCAAAATATGCAACGCGCAGAGCAATCATTCGCATGGGTTATTTTAAATTTTAACTTTTCATAAGTACTATGAAGACATTTTTACCACACTAAATAAAATTTTACCGAGAGGGAGTTGTAGAATCGATTACCTGACATTTGCAGAAACGGTGAATTATAATGGTCCACTGAGAATTCCAACATTTCTTTGAAGTGCTGTCCGTTGAGTTCTACCATACCATATCTATCCTCGAACGGTATGACGCTCCACACATCTCCAAAAGTAATATCTAGAAATAGCGAAAACATTTTGAGCAACTAACAAATTCAATGAAAAAAAATCGTTAAACATTGTGCTACGGCATTGATTCATATCATTATGAGCATGTGAAAAGTTATCTTGAGGATGAATTACTTAATTTACCCTTCTGATATGATTTCACTCAAAAATCGATGGGAGCACTAGATTTTTGGCAATGAACTCATTAAAATTAAACAATTATTTTTTCATATCTTTTGGTGCAGACTCAAAATTTTCTTTCGTCGGAAAGTAAGGGCAAGTAGGGGACGTAGCCTTCCGTGGGATCTGGAAGTTTACAGATCTTGTGGAAGCTCTAAAGTTTACGGATCGTGCATTCTTGCATACGGGAACTTAAGGTTCATGCCGAAGTTTAGGTCACAAATCTGAAGTACCTCGGTATTTCGGTTGACTCTAGAGAAGTTCCAATCGAAGTGCCGAAGTACTCCAAATGTGTGACCCGAACTTTGGCAGCTAGACCTCAAATATTCGGATGCACGATCCAAAAACTTTCATAGATCAAAATTACCTTTTCGGGTCTTTGCACGAAGTTTTTTTCTCCATGTGGCCCCTGCCCTTGTCAGTCACTCACAACTGGCGGAGGCTAAGGCGTTTGGTCGCCCTTTTCCGGCATACGAGGACAGTATAGTTGCCGTTCTCTCTCCGTTTTCGCGCGAAGCAAAAATAAAAATCATTTGCCAGCGCAGCATTTTCTCGATCGACGCGACGGTTGTTTCCAATTGGAACACTTACACACAAGTCTGAGACTTACTTCCATTTGGGATCGAAGTTCGTATTCCGCCGGAATGGAGGACCGCTGCACCCGCTCTTGTCCAACTGCGACCCTCTCTCTGTTTTGTGTACTGAAGAAAGAAAAACAAAATCAATGGGTTTTTTATATAATTCGTAAATCTTCTTTGGAATATTAGAAGCCCCAAGCCAAGAGATAACACAGTATAGTTGCCCAAGGGAAAAAACTTAAACTTATTAAGAAGTTTGCAAGGGGAAATTATCATGAGTGTATTCTGCGACTCATGTCAGCCTGACACAACAAGACATATCCCTATCTTACCCATGCAATATATCGCAATTCGACGTCTTATGGAGTTGCTTTAAACTTTCAATCGGTCCGCCGGAGGGTCGCGAGGGACTAACCCGCTCCCCCCAGAAGGCTAGTTACCTTTTCAGCAATACTAAGATCATTAGTGGTCATTACCACTGTCGAACTGGGTTTTGCTTTTCTAGACCTTGTCGATAACATCGCTTGACGCTTTGCTGATAAATCATCAACGGATAAAAAATTGCATCGATATATCTAAAAATAACTTTTACACAAGAGGACGCCCTCAGTGTCTTTAAAATACTTTGTCTCCGCTCTGCCGATTTAGTCTGACACAGGAAGTGCAAATGAAAGAAATACAAATAAATCACCCCTGCGCTGCTCTCAGTAATTTTTTAGTCATACATATTGTGTTACAATGAGTAAGTATGTTTAAAATTTAGTCCCTCAAAAATGTCTGCGCTCATAAGTCTTTGAGACGCCAAAAAACTGTCAGAAACCCTCAAACCAAACATTGATTTACAGTGTCTTATGCATTTTGCCTCTGTGCTAGGTTTATTCTTTGTGAGTTTATTTTTAAAATATGATTGAATACTTGACTAAATTGGTCAAATTCTTGACATTTAACCCTGGCCTATGTGACAGAATTTAAACTTTTTTAGTGTTTAAATGGCTCGACAATATTAAAATTTGAAACTTCGACACACAGTGGAGGCTGGAGGAATGTAATCCTCCGTGCCGTTATGAATGAGTGGGAGTGTTCTTTATCTGACATATAAGAGCAAAAAATGTTAAAACAAATGGGAACTCATTATTTGTTCGCATCCTACAATCTACAACGGAAAGTTTCAATTAACTGCTTGATAATGCCGCTCTCATTTGGCGAATTATCTTTTGCAATGGCATACATTGCAGAATTATTGAAAATTTATAGAACGTGATTTGCCATCTACGAGGAAGTAAAAGATCGAGTGGAGCAAATTTCAAGAGAAACTGTAGGTTAGTATTCTCTTTAAAAAATATGAATAAAGCATGAACGGAGATTGGCAATGATGCAATCAGAGAGTTGCATTTTTTGGCCTTACCTATATAGTCATCGATATATCTTATCTTACGAGCATTTTTGATTACGATCTTTTTCCATTTCGACGGTGCAACTCCCAATTCTCGTACCCAGGTTTGCGATTTTGCAGACCTTAAAAATTTCCAAAATATCTCTTTTCCATATGAGGAAAATTCTGAAAACCTTCAAGGAATGATGATATGTTCTCTTTAAAAAAAATTAAATAGGACCGGAGATTTTCGGATGATCGGGACTTTATCGTGATTAGAAGCAATTTTTCATGGAAAAAAGTGTTGGAGGATATACCCTGAAGTTAAGGCACCATAATTTGTTGGATGATATGGATATTTCCAATTTATTGCGGTAGTACCGCAACATTTGGGTTAGTAACCTTATTTATTGGGGCACAACCACAATTAATCGGGTACTACCACAAATAATTAAAAAATTCCATATCATCCAACAACTCCGTGCTCGTTTTTTTCCTTGATTGCTATATTTTTTGAATTCAAATGAATTATGCAAGCATTTACGAGTGATACGGCGGCTTGCCACGCTGTTCTTGCAAAATAACACGAATCTCAAACTCAAGCTAGTTACCTCATAGACCATGGCATCCGTGAGCATCTTGCCGATCGTGCATGCCTCCAAGTGGCAGACCCAGTTAGTGGCGTCCAAATCTACCAGTGTATTGCCCACCACTCTCGACCCGACCAGATCAACATCGCTGCGCCAGGGTTGAAGTTTCGCCTCTATGGCAGGATCTGATAAAAACGGTAAAAATTAGCTTCTGGGTCTAGGAATCTTTTGCAGATTCATACTCCTAATAGCGCTGAACAAAATTAGACCACGTCTAGCAAAAAGGAACCAAGCCACATCAGCTGATGCCAAATTTAACTGAGTAATTTAATTTTTTACAAGCATCATAACGGTGTTGCGGATTATTTTGAAAATTTTAAAAAAATTGCTACCAGGAACTGCTGATTAGAACTACTGATTCCGGAAAGAGGCATATCGACGCGGTAAGTCGGCAATCGCATTACTCGGTTTGCGATGTCGCAGACTTCCTGTCAATGATGATGATTATAAAATTAGATAAGAATCAGGCCTTACCTGTACGCACAGTTTTGTCCAGCAAAATAGGGTTGCCCGCCCACGATGACACCTGATACTGTCCAGCAATTTTCTCAAACTTTACTTTTAGAAAGCCCATGTACTTTGAGTAAGCCAAGGCTTGTACAATCAGAACTTTTCGACCACTTTGCTGAGTTATGACCGTTGGGTAAAGCCCTGCAGGTTTGTCGGTGGACAACGGAGGAGTACCTGGGAAAAGAATAATTTTACTGAAATCGGGTGTTAAAAGATTCAAAATACCGTGATGTACCTAACTTTCTAGCAAAAAAGTTGATGGAAAAAATCCCTGATTCACATCAAACTTCTTGACGTAATCCTCCCCTCCTCATCGTAAAAAACAGGCGATTCTACCACAATCTCTGGTCCCAACATTGTTTCACTGGAAATGTACACCAGTTTCATCCAAAAACGAATAGGGGCCTTCTACCGGTATTCTGACCGGGTGGAAACTTACATTTTCGAAGGTCAACGTTTCTCGTTAACAAAAACACTCGTCTCTTTTCTCTTGAGTATTGAGCCACATGTTATCCGGTGCAATTATGAGTCGTTCCAACGACGAGTTTTTGATCAACATCACACGAATTACTCAACACGTTGTGTAGTAACCAACAACGGGTTGATTCCACAAGGGCTGAATGCAGGGTGGCAAAATTTCATGAAAAATGAAATCTTGAAAGTTCACGTGAAATATTTCATGAAATATCAGAAATTTATAAAAGATATTGAAAAATACCGATTCCTTTTCATGTTTCGCAAAATGTAAAAATTGCGACTTTCGTCTATTTTTGTGTGTTTGAGTGCGGGTTGCATACTCTGCCCCTGAAAAATACGAGCTTTTTCACAGCCTTGTGAAATTTCTTCAAATATTTCACTGAAATTTCCAATCTCGCATTTCTTTCTTACGTTTTATGCCACCCTGGCTGAGTGAAAGCGCATCCCAATATCGAAAGTTTCCACCTGTCGCCAGCCGAGAGGGCATTGATAACAGTCTCTACTTTTCTCCGAGTCATCTATTTCGTTTCTCGAAGTCAGTCGTCTATTCGAACCGGTTGTTGATCTAAAAGAGGAACCACGCAAAGAGCGAAACTAGTGTTGAATAATATTGGGCGAGCACCGGAAGAGCGTAGGAATCGAAATTACTGCGCGTCAATAATCAGATTAGCCTAGTTTGCTGATGCACTTTCGTGACTTGTCGGAGAACACAAACTGCGTGTTTTCAAGATTCACACGGAAAGTCATACGATGAAATGTTTACTATCGAGCCAGAGATGTTACGCACGGCGACACGTCGTGAGAAAATTTAAGATTAAGGAGTAAAATTTCAGGCGTCAAAAGCAACTTGTCAATGGTTCTGGTTGAGACACGCATATTGCAGCATTTGCAGACTTTCACTGGAAAAAAAAAAAAACACACACACACATTGGATCTAAAGTCCAGACTCTTGAAAACATTGACAAGAAAAAGGACTCTTGACTCAATCAGATTTAAGCTTAAATCAAAAAGAAATCCGCTCAAATTAAGAGGCTTGGTTCTCGATTTAAGCTTAAATCTGATTGAACCAAGAATATTTTTTCCTGTCGATGTTTTTAAGAGTCTGGACTCTAGATCCAATGTGTTTTTTGATCCAGTGTTTGCTATTTATCCTGCCTTTTGTTCTCCATTCTCTTCAATTTTTAATTATGTTTACGGTTCCTTCTCTTTCCAAACGGTATGCCTAGGTACTTCTTTTTGTGAAGAAGACAGAAAAATCAATATGACGTGTACGTACGTCATATTATTTTTTCTCGGGACGATTTTTTGGCCACCAAAGAAAAAAATACCAGTGTTTATTTTATAAAACTATTCAGCTATGGAGATATTACAGCTATTGGGGCTTAATTTTTTTCGACGTTGTAAATATACACCTAAAAATTTCATTGTTTATTCAAAAATTGTTGCAACTAATGAATCTAGCTCCTCCATAGCCAAAGAATCGAACAACTCCTTAAGGTGAACGCGACGCAAATTTGTATACTCACGTCCGGACTTTACTCCAACATCGTGATTAAGATTCCTTTTACGTTTAGTCAAGCTTGAATATACCTATTATCATTTTCTATGTTTATGTCATCGTGCATCACACTATCATATCTTAAGCTAAAAATATCTACGGAAGGATAAAAATCAAATGCCTTATTCCATAAATACCTACTGAAGCGATGAATGAAATTGTGACGCATTCGTGTTATCAATTATGACGCCGCACACATAAGGCGCTTAACCGAATCAACACAAATGATGGAGTTTCCTTTTATATACGTGACGAAGTTAATAGAATACGCATTTTCATTGTTGTATGGAATTGAAGAATTTCCGTAGTATTTTGAGGCTGCACGCCTTTGCAAGTACTAGACGAATAAATAAATGTGATAATGTCTGGCAAAAAGGCCCTTAAGGCAGATAAAAATGAGGTAACCATCCATTACAAACTATTATGATTAAAATTATTGTTATTCAGATAACTAAATATTAAGATTCATGGTTCAATTATCATCAGACCTACTTTTTGCCTCTTGTCTTTTTTGAGTACCCCTCGCTCGGAAACTGCCAAACATGACTTTACGAAAACGTTGTTCTTACGTTAATTGGACTACATTTTGCAATTCAGAACTACACTTTCTGTCTCAGTTAAGAAATAATGTACGTATCCCCAGTTTCCCTATGCATATGAGTGTTCCTACGCGTAAGCCAGAAATTGTAGTTATTAATTGCAAAATGAAGTCCAATTCTGGCAGTAACGTAACCAGGGCCGGATTAGCCGGGGTGCCGAGATGCTATCGCCCTGGGCGATTTTTTTTAATATGTATCATTATTTTTAATCCTCTATCTCAGCTAGAAATTCGACTAGATCTGTTAGGGTCCTTGGAATCTAACAAACGGATTTAGAGAAGCCCTTAAACTGGAATTTTGGGTGTCATGGGGCCCTAGAATTTTATTATTTGGGGCCCCTAATGCTCGTTGAAAACCGTCAGTCTGATACTGAAATTTCGGTGAATTTTTGAAATCAGCGTGTTCTGGGCCCTAAGGCAGAAAATTTTCATGGACTCTCCGGCTCTGAACTTATAGTAGTATTGCAACCCTGAATAGCAATGTCCTGGAGTCCCCTGAATTTGTTCTCTTTCTCTCTCTTTTGAGCTCGCCCACTCGGGAGAGCTCTTTGCGATCGATTTCTTTTAGCATTGGTAGTGTCCGTGGCGACGAATGGATGGTTCTCGTTGCCGTCGGAGGAACGGCCAAAATCCCATTGATTTCAAGGTCTAAAAGTTGAATTTTCGCGGGTTACAGTTTTCCTCCGTCGAACATTTCCGTTCCCTCATTCAACTGAGGATTAATTGTTCCTCGTTTGCTACACTAGAGAGCAGCACTTTCCAGTGGCCGAGCATATCATAGCATGTTGCTATGGTTTTATATCAAATAACCTAATTGTATGTTATCATCCTCTTATCTTTTCAATGCAGTTTTTGTGTGCAGTTGTACTTGCAATTGTTATTATTTCTTAAAATAAAAAACATGGTGACCTCGACGTGATTTAATAATTTGTTCAATTAATTTTAAGTTACTAAGACTAAGATTGAGATTTGCGCATAATTAATGGATAATCCTTAAGATTGCCGTTATTGGTACCATAGAAGGTTAATTAACCTCAAAATAATTGCATGCTTGAGAGCTCGGTTGAGACTCGCATTGGGATCCTTTCAGAGTTTGTTTAAACCTCATATTAAGAATGCTTTAGGATTCGTTTGAGCCCCTCGCATCAAGAATGCTTGGGAATTCGTTTGAGCCTCGCATTTAGAATGCTTGAGAATTCGTTTGAGCCTCGCATTGAGTTTCTTTAGAGTTCGTTTTAACCTTAAAATACAGATGCATGAAGTGCTCTTTCGAGCTCCGTGCTATTTATAGTGCGCGAGGTGCTCCATTGAGCCACCCCATACCTACAAAGGCGTGATGTGCTCCATTGAGCCACTCGCATACAAAGGCTTGAAGTGGTCTCTCGAGCTCCACGCTAAAATTCAAGTGAATTCCTTTTCAGCTCTTAGTGTATACCATAAGTATTGTGTAAGAATTATGGCAGAAACGTTCCTCCAAACCGTGCTAAATTATAGTTTCTTTGAACTCTGTGCCGATAAAAATTCAGAATTCCAGACTGCCAGCTTAACAAAGTATAACCTTAATTCAAGTTGGCGACTTGATTTAAAAAAAAAAATTAAAATTAAATCATATGATTTCATTACATTGTTGACAAGTTAAGAAAAAGCTTATCAACGATGAAAGCCAGAAACAAAAATGCGATGGCAAAAATAGCCATTGCAACATTTGCCGCAAAATCACATTCATAAAAGATAATTCCATTTCTCTCTCTTTATTTCTCTTTATTTATTGTAATGTGAAAAATTTGTCATATGAAATTACGTCATAACATTTTGCATCGGCATGTAACCTCTGATAATTGGGTAAAGATTCATTTAATACATATACAATTTCAGAAAAAATCATTAATAGTTGTTAATAGTTTCCCAAAGGCGAGCTCTCCAACACAGTAGTGTTGGAACCAGCAGCTTGTTTTAATCTGTTTTTATTTCTAATCTGCATTTGTTCTTTTCTACTTTTTTTCTCTTTTTCAATTTTGTTAACTTATGTATTGTAATTACTTACAGTCTTTGTAATTACTTATGTATTCTTCTCTACTCTGATAATAAAGGTCGCTTAAGAAGAAAAAAAGAGAAAAAAAAGCTTAGCAATTAATGTCACGATGGGTCTCGGAAAGCAAGTTTTTTGAGGGCCCCTGAAGTTAAAATCATTGATTTGGAGAGGCTTTGAGGCAGGTTTTTCGGGAGTCATGAGATCATATAGGCATATGAGGGGCATATGGATCATATGAGGTCATGAGAGCCTTACGAACCCTTCGTTTCTTTGGAAACGCGAAACGCCTTCAATTTAGAGAGTATGTGACCTGCAAATGTGCGGGCCCCTTGTACTAGCCAGCATCCCGCGCTCCTGAGCACTGGTCTGTAACTACGTTTCTGCGATCACTTTTCCCGGACTGTATCTGATGATCTTTGGTTTGAAAAAAGTATGCCACTTGAATACCTGCAGACTTACCAGTATACAAAAAAGTATGTGAGTGAGCGCCAACTATTATATCTGCGTCCAAACCCTGCTGTGCAACTCTCATATCCTCTTTGTATCCAGTATGGGAGATGGCCACGACCACATCAACATAGCGATTTCTCAGTTCCTTGATGGCTTTATTCGTTGCCTCCACTTCGTCTTCAAAAATCAGATCGCCCGTGTTCTCCATGGTCTGAACACCCAAATTCAAAATGAAATAGTCAGTTAAAATAAAGGGGGAAAATTTGAGCGTAGAATTGAAGATAAACTTTGTTCAATCGGTACTCATCCGATGAAAATCAAGCCCAGTTTCAGCGCGGGTATAAATTTTGGACGGATTCCTGATAGAAAGAACTAGAGACGGGTGGGAAATAGGTCTGCTCTAGAAAGCTGCAAAAGAAACAATGTAAAAGTGGAGGTGATTCCTTCAGTGGAAATAGAAAAGTGGGATTTTACATTAAATCAAACGGAACTAAATGCCAAAATATGCTGCACTTATGAGCTGTGGGCATGTGACAAGAGCGTTATGGACAGGGTTCATTGGTAAAACTACCGTGATAGCAAAGAGAGCAGTAAGTGCAAAAATGAAGTTTTGAGAAAATGGGCTCAGAAGCTTCTGACCGGAAAATTTTATTAAAAGAAGTCTCCGTTCTTTGTCAAATTGCCACTAATCGTCCGAAAGACTCCTTGAAATCGTTTGGCTGATTAAAAATCGACTATTTTATTTCAATTACAAAAAAGAGTATTTTTAATTTCCATACTAGGTGTTTGGCAAGACAGCCGTAAGTGCTATCTTCTGTATGCTTTCGTGGTTGCATTTTGGACACACAACAAACACATTTTCAGATTCAAAATTTGCAGAAGAGGGAGGCACTCTACTTGAAAGCACTGTTTTCATTAGCTCTCTGGAGGAGTATTGTCACTTAATGCTGTCCTGCCTAAAACTACGTCATTTTTTGTGCACTTACGGCTTTCTCATAAGTCTCGTTTTGATACAGTTGAGATGAATTTTGCTGTTTTGGCAATTTCAGTAATTTTATTTAAAAGAGTCGAATTTTGAAGGAAACTCGATTTCAAAAATTTGACACTTACTGCTCTTCGCTTTCACGGCAGAAAATACCCCCACGAACGACCACGTCGTCATTGACGTCACTGGCGCTTTATAATTCCCATTCATATTCTTACGGCCCTCAACTAACGAGCACACTCCTTCTTTTCCATCCATCTCCGGTCCTTTCAGCAGAAATACGTCGAAATAATGTGGGAAACATCGTGACAACTGTCGGTGAAACCGTATGTAAAGCATTTCTCATACACTTCCATGGGCCAAGCGCTCTTATTACCTCTTTCTAAACTAAGAAGTGCATTAGTTTCCTCGATTTAAAATTCCAGTTTTTGGGTTTTCAGCTTTGCTACCACAATAGTATGACCGCTGACCGCATGCGCCATTCTAACATCCTGCTTTAAACACTATTCAGGTCATAACTTATTGTTAGTGGTGTTGGTTTTTTTTAATTTTTTTTTTTTTTTTTTTTTTTTTTTTTTTTTTTTTTTTAGAAAATTATATTACTTGGCATTATGACTCATTCACACGTTTTAACGGGAGATCAGGGAACAAATAATCAAAAATTTCTGAAGCTATAAATCGACAGCATACCATAAAAATAATATTCCGTGTCTCTTGTTAATTTTTAAACAAAAACAAGAAAGGGATAAGTAAAAATTACACAAACCGGGAAACTCGTCGAAACATATCCAACGATGCCAATACGCAAATCACCTTTCCGTACGATTGTCCATTTTTTTAAGTATTTCTGCAGCTCTTGGACCTTCGTACAGTCAACGTTTGAAAGCACAGTCGGTGTTTCCTTCTTCATCAGGCTTAAATATCGCAAGACAGCCTGCGGCCCTTCGATGTCAAACTCATGATTTCCAATTGTCTGCAACAAAACAAATTGAGCTAATTTTCTGACATTGCTTCTAAGTATAAACAGCATTAATTCAACTTTTCGCTCTCTCTTAAAAATCACATATCTGTTATTAAATTTTTAAACAGATAGGCGTTTTTAGACAATAGTTTGTGCATGTTAGTCTATCCACGAGGAAAGGATATTACACAATATTCTTCGTCACACAATATTGATAGAGGATATTTCTCGCTCTAATTTAGTAAAGTCTCTCAAGATTTCTAGGGGAGGCCTTACCCTCCCTGCCTTCAGTTCCGCCCGTGACTACCCTGCTGCCGTGCTAAGGAAGAACGCCCTATGAGCCTTCAGATGTTGCCAAATTTCCTGCAATAACATTAGAATTAACCGCGGCGGGAAAATCATGAATAATTTTTTCCCAAATTTTGCAGAAAATTTTGTCAGCAATTTAACCTGAAAATCTCTACAAATTTCAAGGAACACTTTTCCCACAAATACATGTTTTTCCGAGGAAATTTGGCAACTCTCGATAGTTTATATGGCTTGGTTACTCTCAACTTACCCACGCAAGTATCCTCAGCTCCTTTCTAGCATTTGCCGGCCGTCACAGGATTGACCAGTTCAATTCAAAGCGAGCGTGGAAATCGTTGAAGTGGATTATGCTTACTTCGACAGCGCCTTCGGCAGAGGCAAGATACCACCCGCACAACGCCGCACACGCGGCCACAAACATACCGCTCATTTTATTGAAATATTAGAAAATAAGAGAAACAAACACACTCATAAGCCTCACAATGTGCGTCTTGATGTAATGTATAGCGTTTTGTGACCTAAGATAATTTAATTTTTTTTCTTCTAAGAAATCTAACACACAAAAAGTATCAATCAATCGATTGACTTTCCAGTTGTTCTAAACATCGTCACCTTTCGGCCAAAGTATCACAAGCGCCATGCGACGTTTAAAAATTTCCGCCGCTATTTTATTTCCTTTCAGAGAAGTTTTTCAACAAAGCTATTCGAAAATTTCACTGAATTTCCTTTGAGCTGCCGATAAAATTCAGTGAAATTTTCAGCAGAGTCAACCAACAATTTTTCTGTTGAAAAATAAAATGGCGGCGGAAATGTCGCAAGGCGCTTGTGATACTTTGGCCGGAAGGCCACTAAAAAGTACCGTACCTGCGCATCCACTGGTAAGAGATTCATAAATTCTGCGGTGACATTCCACTTAAAGAGATTAAACCAAAGAGTTCCGGTAAATACATCACCAGCATTTATTACCAAGGCATTTGGTTCTTGCTTTTTCAGCTCAAGTATTTTTGCATGCATGCGCGCGAATCCACCTGTAAAGATAAAGAAATGCTAAGGATAGCCAACCCAGAATTTTTTAAACGTTTTTTCGTTACGTACATATATTATAGTCAAAAGAATTTGCTGTAACGTAATTAGGTTCTTGAGGGGTACATTTTAAATTCCTTTGGTGCGAAGAAAAGCCGCATTTACTGAATTCCCATAGGTATCTACGCAGCCTCATCGTCTTCATTTTTAGTATGAAGAAGACACATTAATTACATCAATTGAGAAAGGTCAGCATAGAAATTCAAGTTTGGTTTCCTTATTTGTTCGCTCTCAATGAAATTTTGCGTATTATAGAATTTCTGTATATGGAAAAAATTCATCATGATTGTCACATCAACATTGTGTGAGACTCTCAGAAAGGTCTCAAAAAAATCATATCGGTGGCTGAGGTCGATACGTGCATAATTCTGATTTTTTTTTTTTTTCTCCATAAAAAAATAATAATTTCTGAATGCGGCGCTGAAATACCCGCTAATTTTTTATTTTTTTTTTAAAAAAAAAGAAAACTAGCAAAAGATGTTTTTTGAATTTTTTGGAAATTTGTTTTCTTGTATATACGTAAATATATACGTGAAATTTAAAGGAGATATTGTGGCTATAGTACGTTAAGGGAAATCAAATCAAATTGGAAAGTGTGCAACGTTACAATGGAGATATGCATTTTCCGACTTTTGCCATCGATATGTGACTATAAGTGTCGTTTGATGTACGCCTTTCAGCATGCCTCTATTCCATGGAGCTTAGAATTTTGAATTGGAAAGCACAAAACAAAATCGTGCTAAAATTCAAAGCCTCGTGTTTGCTCTTGATTGCATAATACCGAGCACTTCCACAAGTGACAATAGGAATTGACCTCCATGTACGTATTACACAGTGACGAAGTTTTCCTCAATTGACCGTCTTTAAATCAAAAGAAGCTATCTCGATTGTGACTTGAGCCCTAAGATTCGTAAAAATACATCCATGACAGAGCTCATGTCAAAATAGAGATAGTTCCTTTAGCTTTGAACACGTCCAGTTTATTCTCCTCGCCCGCATACTTTATCGGTGTTACCCAGAGATGTTTGACAGGCTCTTGAAATAATTTGAATAAGTTGCACGGGATACTTGCCTGCTCCTACTAGGAGATAAATTTTACGTGACAATTGCTTGCTCGAATGCGTGGACAGTGAAGCACCGTGAATCCGGAAAATAGACGACGCTCTTCAAGTGATTGTTGAGACGTCAGTATAGTAACTGCCGTATTTATCACTCTAAAGTGTTGCGCATTTTTATGAAACATGTATAGAGAGTTGAACAATTTTGACGGAACAATGTACATGTGCTTGTAACATTTTGGCAACTGTGCGGATGCCACGAACATTGGCAGATCCAGCAATTTGGCGACACCGGTTTTCCCCATTTACACCTTTGGAAATAAATCGATTCTTGGAGGGGCCAGGTGCTCCGACAAGAATCGATTATTTAGCATAGGTTTAAATGGGGGAAATTCGGTGTTGCCAAATGGCTGGATCGCCTCTGGCCACGAAAGCACAGAGTATATCAATGGTGAGGCTAAACAAAATTATCTTATACCAAATCTGTCGATTACGTAGAAATTTTGGAACTCATTCGACCGTATCCAAAGTGCGGTAATTCGAATTTTTCGCACTTTCTCAATCAGGCATCGAGCTCATAATTCAATTTTTCAAGAAAATATTACCCAACCTTTTTACATGAAATTTTCAAAAATTTTCTTGATAGAGCAGAGGAAAATCACTCAACATTTCATGCAATCGTGGTGATCGGTGTTTTTTTGCTTTGTGTTTTTTTGTATGTGTTTTTTTTTTTTTTTTTTTTTTTTTTTTTTTTTTTTTTTTTCTTTAACCAAGTTAAACAAAAAAAATTGTAACTCAGTGAACCTAGATCCTTTTTTGATTTAACTTAAGCACCGGTGAAAGTGTAAGCAATGAATAATTTTCTCAAATCACTCTTGTATTTTTGTCTCAGTTTTATGTGTATACACGCATCATCAAAAGTGCTCAGGGGTTCAGTCATGCCTAAAAAGATTCACCACGGGCGGAACTCGGAATCTGCTTTTGTGAGAGGCCAAGAGGGCATCTCACAAAGAGGAATTCGGGAAGAAGGCACAGATACTCCCCACCGAAAGAAATCTGGGGGACTCTACCAGATGCAAGTTGGATATATTTGAAAAAAAAATGAGTGATCTTAAGCGCAATTTTGAGGCTATTATCGAAACGTTGATTGATGAAACACAATATTGATGGAGGATATTTCTCGCACTTATTTAGTAAAGTCTCTGAAAATTTCTAGGGGAGGCATTACCCTCCCCGCCTTCAGTTCCGCCCGTGACCACCCTTCTGCCGTGCTAAGGAAGAACGCCCTATGAGCCTTCAGATGTTGCCAAATGTCCTGCGATAACATTAGAATTAATCGCGGCGAGAAAATCATGAATAATTTTTTATCAAATTTTTCAGAAAATATTGTCAGCAATTTAACCTGAAATCTCTACAAATTTCAAGGAAAACTTTCCCCACAAATACATGTTTTTCCGAGGAAATTTGGCAACTCTCGATAGTTTATACGGCTTGGTTACTCACAACTTACCCACGCAAGTATCCTCAGCTCCTTTCTCGCATTTGCCGGCCGTCACAGGATTGACCGGTTCAAAGCGAGCGTGGAAATCGTTGAAGTGGATTATGCTTACTTCGACAGCGCCTTCGGCAGAGGCAAGATACCACCCGCACAACGCCGCGCACGCGGCCACAAACATACCGCTCATTTTATTGAAATATTAGAAAATAAGCGAAACGAACACACTCATAAGCCTCACAAAATATGATCGGAAACACTAACTAACTTGGAAGTTAGCCAATCCGGCTAACTTCAGCCGAGACCTCCCAAAAACGCTATAGTCTAAACCATTATCAACAGCTTAACGGGTCATTGTTTCTAGCTATAGACTCCAGGAAATTGCACAGATAATGAGTGCTGCCATCGAGGCCTCTTGTCACACTGAAGTTTCATCAACTCTAGGAATGCAAAAAATTTTACCATGTCGATAACTTTCTAATCTCTAGATTATCCTCCTACTGAAGAGGTGTTGCCCTTATTACCTTATTAATCCTTCTGCTAAACTAGATGTAATTGGCCGTGGGAAACTCTTGAAATTTACATACATCACACGTCGAGGACTGAATGTCATTTGATTGTTTTTATCTATCTTTTATCTGCTCACGTGCATTTTGATATGTTAATTACGTGCGAAACATAGTCGCCCACTTGTAGTTCTTTCATCGTTGATGAAAGCACTTAGTTCCTTTTTGCCGTGAGTTTATAGTTTATCCTTTGCGCTTAGAGGTATAATTGAAACTTATCTTGCTCCTGCGTTACTACTTCTTGTGCCTTAGTTTCTAATTCACTTACTCGAGTCTCTATTTTAGAAGTATTCTTTGCCACAACGTAGGAATCGCCTTCAATTTGATGCATATGCAATTTTAGATGACATGCGTGTTTTAACTCTTAATAGTAATCATTCTGGCGTAAGGCATTCCTAGAATTAGAGTTCACTTCAAATAATGTTCTCTAAACGTGCGTTACGTCTACAATAACTTAACTAAGTAATATGAAATGACGTTATTTTTCGGATCCAAAATAAATCAATCTGAGTAGAATATCGACGGTGAAACTACCAAACCACGTATCTCGGTTTGCGACGTCGCAGACTTCCTGTCATACTTTATTTTTTAAATGAAAAACTATTTAACGTCCAGCCTTGAAAATTTCTGTGATTTTTCCTCTTCGCGCGGAGAAAATTCTGTGAAAATTTCAAGGAATGATATTGATTTGGTCTACTTCCAAAAAATAAAATGTGAGCGTAGATTTTTAAACACCGCAAACGAGATACGTGGTTTGGTAGTTTCACCGTCGATATATGTTTTCAAAGTGATCAAATTAATAAGAACAGGCCAAACTTAGTTATGGAGAAGAAATCAATTTTTGCAAACAATTAACACGTTCACATCGTAACAATATTTCATCTACTCATTTTAGGCTACTATTTATTATAGAAATATCATTTGGTCGTTCATAAGTCCGCTTATGCTTATTAAGTACATACTTATTATGATTTCACTTGCGATCATTCAAAATTTTTTATTCATCTTGCCCGTTACAAAATCGCACTTGGGAGATTATCAGAAAATAATAAGATCAATCTTTCAAGTTTCGAACCACTATGATAAAATAGTCTTATAGCGTTGGTCCTTCCGAATATTTTGGCTGTTTTGACATTATGGAGCTACATTCAGCATAAAGGTTAAAAGAAAATGAGGAAGATGAAGAAAATTAAATATATCTAAGGGTTTTATTTGTGTGCTGTATTCACATATACTGAGGTGTTCGTATTAGCTTCCACGGGCAGTTTGATTGATAAGTTTTCATCCAATTCCAGGATTAAAGGACTGTAATTCTGTAAGTAATCCAGAACAATCTCTAGATCCTTCCTTCCTGAAATGTTTAAAATCAAAACTGGAGTTAAATACGAATTTTTCCGAAAAGAGAGAGCAAAATACAAGCTTATCCTACGTTCTTTAATCAAATGTTAAGCTACCTCGGACAGCAGCAGATAAAATGAGGCGACATTTTTATTTTGATACAGCATTGAGCTATGTCTCCAGACAACAAAATGAATCCCCGAGATCAGATTTTTTCTTTTTTTAGCCACTCTGTTCAGGGTATGCTTTTAATGCAGTTTGAGGAGGTGAAAAGGTTTTGTAGTAGCTACGTGTCTAACTTTTTTATCTCGGATTTTAGATCGAAATTTCCATAATTTGTTGATGGTAAAACTAGGAAAACACGTATCTTAGTTTGCTACATTGTGATTCCCTGTAATATTTAATTTAAATGGAAGCAAATAAAACCTATAGTTTTCATTCTGTGGAACTTCGCATGATTTGTCTTCGACAATCTAGAAATTTTATCGAAGTATTACGGTTTATTTCTCCTTTTTTTTCATGAAAATGTTCAAAAATTCGATGCCAAAGTCGGAGAGATTTCTTTAAAAAAAAAATGAATTGAAAACCGAAATTTCGAGAGACCATAATCAAAATACTAGTTCTTTCTAATTTCGCACTTTCTATGTATTGCCAGGTTTTGTGATCAAGTTTGCTCTTTTTGCAGAAACTTATAATTGGAAAAGGGCTGCTTTAACCGAGGAATAAGGCAACTATGCTTTCTGACTACCACCCCCTTCAGTTTTGGAATTACAGTAGGTATGTGACATTTATGTAAGATCTCACCTGGAGCCCAGAATCTGGCACGCTTCTTAATCTGATCGAATCCACTTCCACCATTGTACATCCATTCACTCATGATGATGCGATAGTATTTGTGGATAATTAGAGGCTCGTACCTTGGTATGGGACAAGTCGCACACCGAACGTAAACTTCTGAAACTCTCTGTCCTGGTGGCTTAGTCAAATCAAATTTCACCTTTATACCTGCGTGGAAGTATGAATTCAATGAAATATGAAGGACATTATAATAAAGGCACCGTACTCTAAGAAATTATTTTTAAGAAAAAATGAAAAGGATAACAAATGCTCTTCAATTAAGAGAAAAGTTTTTTAACGCAAATCAATTTTTTTTTCTCAATTGAAGAAAACAAATTTTGGGCGAATAAAATTTCTTTCAATTCATATAGGGTTTTTTTTAAATTAAAAAAAAATATTTTATCGCTGGTAAAGTTAAATTTCTTTAAATTAAAGAAAACTCATTCCGACTGAAATAAATTACTTTCCCTCAAAATTTATTTTCTTTGAAAAAAGCGTTTTCCACACAAAGAATTTTATTAGTTTAACTTTTGTTTTAATTCAAGAAAATATTTTTAAGAATTTATTGTCAGTGTACAAACATGCAGCATGCAGCATGCAGCATGCAAACTTTGACGAAATTATAAAGGGACACGTGGTATAGTAGCAGCCAACGCTCCATGGGGTGTATTTGTCACCCAAATTTCTCTGAGCAACTTCTGCGTTTTTGACGGTATCAGAGGCATGGTCTTTGCTCTGAAAAAAATGGATTTATTACTGCGACAAAAAAAGGAACCATTTCCTTGACGGTTTTTCGTTTTGCCGAAAAAAAAATTCAAGGCATCAAGAAAACCTAATATTGCACCAAGAAAGAAAATTTTTAATGACAATTTTCACGAAATTCCCTCGAACTCTCTTCAAATTCGTTGGTTGTAGCAATCGGATGAAAATGTTATAGCGACATTAAAGCTTTTCATTGCACCGAGAAAACTTTTGTTGTCACAAGTAAAATGTTACTAGGTACAGCAAAAACTTTGCTATGATGAATCAAAGTATTTTCTGTGTAAATGCACCATCCTCGCTGCGACTTTATTCATAAAATATATTCTTATGCTCCATTTACCTGACATTTGCAAAAACGGCGAATTGTCCTTCTCCACAGAGCGCTCGAGGAATTCTTGAACATGCTGCCCATTCAATTCCACCATTCCAAAATGATCATTGTAAGGAAATGCCTCGTAGACGTCGGCATATGTTATAACTGTAACATTTATGAAGTTTCAATCAACGCAAATACTTAAAAGATTATGCCTGTTGCAAACTGTTAGCAAGCAAGTACAATTGCGTCCTCTCCGTTTTGAAGGCGTTTATTGATGAGCCAGAATAAGCTACGATTTTCGGCCGGTCCACTAGGAAAACAAATAGTATATATGAGTACCTTCAGCCTCTTAACGATAAATTGTAATTTATGTGTTTCCTGAAAACCACCTTCTCTGACTCTTAAAGAACGAGTTTAATCAATCCTTTTGAAAACAAAGGTATACGAAATACTCTTGGTTCTACTTGACAGCCGACCAAAAGTACTTATATAACGCGGGAGGAATGTTCCTGCCCATTCAATGAGGAAGTCAAACACGAAAAGATACAAGTTTTCACCACGTTTAGCAACCTATAAAGGGGCAAAGCCGTATTTAAGGGGTGGCCACATGGGCCGCGGCCCATGGCGGCATATTTAGGGGGCGGCAAATTTTACAATTTTTTTAAATGTAGTTATAAAGAAAAATCGGATTCAGAAAATAAATATACAAACGAAAAAAGGTGACGAAATCTCTCATTTCCTGAAAGTATAACTCTAATTTTGTGGCCTTTCTGTGATACAATAGACAGCACCTCTAATTTGTCGAGTTGAGACCAAGAGAGAAACCGAACACGGAATTTGGCCTGGAACAGTGCGGCGCAGAGAGCAATGATGACGAGAACTTGAGATGAAAAGGTGAAACCCTTGACGTGGCGCGGCGGCCGGCATGTATTAGCGCCTACAAGACTGCATGGATACTTCACGCATTGCGTCAAAGACAGTGCGGTCGCTGCGGTCAGCAGCGGGCGGCGTGAAACGCATAGCGCCTACGAGACTGCATGAATACTTCACGCATTGCGTCAAACACAGTGCGTGCAGCAGCGGTCGACGTGAAACGCACAACACATACTCTGGTCTCTGGTCGTAGTTACAACATTACCTCTGTGGTAACAAGTAGTTCGATCCCGGTAAAAGTACTGTACATTGTTAGTGGAACCGGAACCCTTTTCATCACAAAAACAATACTCGATGAGGACTAGAAAAGTCTGCAGGACCAGAAATCTAACAGCCACACTTATTTCCCCCTATAATTTCCTTCCATCAAATTCCGGTTGGACTGACTCTTATGCATTATTTTTACAAAGTTTACCTAAAATATGTATGCATATCTGCGCTTCTTACCTCCTTGCTTTATTGCCGGACGAAAACCATCGGCGTGGAGCACACCAACAGCTGCTCTGGTCCAACTTCGGCCCTCTCTCTGCTTCGAGTACTAGAAACAAATTTCACCTGAATGCAGCTTAAAAAGTATTGGGATTTGGCCTATTATCAGAGGGAAAAGCAACCTTGTCTTTCCATGATTCCCCCTGTCACTATATCTAATTCCCACTTATCGATGGGTCATATCGATGGGTCTTATCGCTGGAAATCACACATTTCGGTTTGGGTATTGCGGACTTTCATTGATACTGAAATTTTTACAAATAGTTAAATAATTTATCAACGCAATGTCCTGATAATGTGTACGTATGAGCTTTTTCTCTGTCGGAAAAAATTCCTGTAAAAAATTTTCAAACCATAATGTTGGTCTGTCTTTCCTGAAAAATAAAAAAAATTTACAAGCAGATACTTTTGAGCAATGTAAGCGAGACGCCTGGTTCCCAAGTTTTGTGAATGATACGTCATCACTGCCGTTTTGGCATTTTGAAACTCCTTCTATGTTGTAAAAGTACGATTGTCATTCTTCATTCTATATCATTGGATTTTTTAAATAGAATTCCCCGCAAGAACAGAGAGGAAGTAGTACTACGGTTAGAGTGGGGCTTGCTTATCGAAATCCCATTTCTCTTACTTTTACCACACCCCCTTCTATTTTTCAGGTTTCATTGATACTTGCAAAAAATGAAGGCGATTCTGAAGAACGTTTTCCCTTAAATTGTAATAAGCTCATTTCAAAAAGCTGCGCGGGGACGGTCTGGATTTATTCCTCTATTCCTCTTCCATATAAAGTAGGTATTTAATATCTAGTGTTTTTTTTAAAAAATAAAATCAACTATCGTTAAATCTTCTCTCCAAAGAAGATCTTTTCATTATTTGACAAACAATTTTAATCCGCAGAAAGTTGGAAGAAATTGGCGAGCGAGCGTGAAAATATATCCAGCATACTCTCAAGTTTGTCTATACTGATTCATGATATGGACATTGGACTTAAGTTGGCAAATCAAATTGATTTGATGAAATCGTTCTCGACATTTGGCCAATCTTAGAGATTTCAGTAGTTATTAAGACGTACTTTTCCCTTTTGAAACTTTAATTTGTCCAAGGTGGCATGCATCTTAAAAGTGCTGGCTGCTGGGATTCAGCAGAATTTTGACTGGAAACTGGAGAATGAAGGTAATTGATTTTCAGAAGTGTTTCTTTTGTTTTTTCCATTTATTTTATAGCTGATATTTTATAGGGTTTTGGCATCAGTTTCCTTGGCTACAACTAATTTACCTCAAACACCATAGCATCTGTGATCATCCTGCCTGAGAGACATTCTTGACGATCACAAACACCGCCTGCTTCATCTAAAGGCACCAGAGTCTCGCCAATTTTCTGCATCCCGTATGCTTCCACCTCATTTCGCCACGGTTGGAGTTTGGCCTCGATTGCGGGATCTGGAAAAATTAAACCATAGAGAGATTATTTTTCGGGTGTAATCTTGTCCAAACTTCACACGATTTTGATGGTTTAATGTGCCCCTCTTTCCACATCCCTAATTTTTCTTCCTCTCGTGAGGTCAACGGATGCAACTTTTAATATCAGCTACCACCTCCTGCATTTTCCTGAAGATGTCGTCAATTACCATATTTTTCGGTGGGTGTTGTAGGGTACCTATAAATGTTCACTAGACGTTAAGACTTGCCATTCGGACGAATCGTGTGATTTTTGCTGGTTGGAAAGTTTCAAACATTAGAATACTTAACTACGACTTTTGTGTATGATTCTTTGACCCAATTTTCCGGATGATTTACTACACCCGCGACCTAAAGCCCCAAGGCCTACGACATATCTAGTATTAATTTCGTCAATCGAGAAGAGGATGAAAATATAAAGGTATGAAATCATACACCTACCAGTAGATGTACCTACTGGTAATGTTCATAGTTACCTGTTCGCACTGTTTTGTCCAATAAAATAGGATTACCCTCCCATGATGTGACCGAGTATCTGCCTCCTTTTTGGTCAAATTTAACTTTTAAGTACCCGATGTACTTTGAGAAAGCGCCTGCTTGAACTATTAAAACTTTGCGTCCATTTGCTTGCGTCACGATGGTTGGATACTGCCCCTCAGGTTTGTCGTAATTCGGGGGAGGCGTTCCTGAAAATTGAACAGACAGGTAAGCAAAAAATAAAGGGATAAAATTACATATTTTCAAGATTGATGATAGTTTACAGGACTTTTAGACAATAATCGCCTACAGATGATTGATGTGAGACAGGTTCAGAATTACCTAAGCCCATTGATAACCTTTGACTCTCAGAATTATATGTGGTTAGGGAAAAAAATGTAAAAAAAAATGTAAAACAAGGTCTTGATTGCAAAATAGATCATCTACTTCGGGCGAGGGTCTGGTCATATTTCTTTTTACAGTGGATATCAATGAAGAAACTATCCGGGTCTACATCTGCATTGTTGCAGATTTTTTTTCAAATTTAATTTTTTTGTAAAATTCATACTTTTTTGCAATACTTATAGCAGGTCTGTAGTTCGGAGTCTCTCATATATGCATAGATATTTTATCTATAAAGTATACATATTTGTTAACAATTTCTCAGATGTATGTAGGCACAGCTAATAGGACGTGTAAAATAGAAAAACACCTTGCCTGTGTACAAGAAAGTGTGTGAGTGGGCGCCAACAATGATATCAGCATCAAGAGTTTTTGCAATGTACAAATCTTTCGCGTAACCTGCGTGTGCTATAGCCACCACCACATCGACTTTATCGATTTCTCGCAAGTCTTTAATCACCTGGTTCGTCGCGTATGCCTCATCGTGGAACACCAAATTCCCCGTATTTTGCAAATTCTGAAATCGAAACGTAAATTCCGTCTAAAATGGTCACAAACATGATCTGTGGTTTAAATTTTCATTTGAGAAGAAATGGCAAACTTAAATATGTTCTTTTGCAATAAGTTGAGCTGCACTTCCAAAGTAGCAGTGATCACGATAAATAGCGATTTTATCGATTGGTTATCGCGACTATATCGGTGGCAATATATCGAGATATTATCGCATTAAAAATTGCGATCTATGGCGATTAAATCGATACACATCGCAATTTTTTGTTCGATAAAATAGCGATCAATTTTCGTTGATAAAATCGAGATTAAATCGCCATTTATCGCGACTTTTATTTCGAAAATATTGCGATAAACTGCCTGGCGAGAAAATCGCGATTTTATTTCGATAAGATCGAGGATAATCGCTCAGATGTTGATGATCTTAGCGGTTTTATCGCCGAAAAAATTGCGATATACCCCGATTTTTCCCTTGGAAAATGCTACTTGGGTTGAGCATGGTGATTTACTGGGAGAGATGAACCAAATTTGTTTGATTAAGCGGAGAGCGTTGCTCTTCTTATATATAAAAAAAAATTACGGAATTTTAACGTCTTCATTAATATAAGCTCAGGTGATACGCGTAAAAAAACAAAGAAGTGTGCATTTCAAGAAGAGTAATCCCTCGGTTGAGATTGAAATTTGTGTCTAGAACTTTCTTCTTTGTGCTCCCTTTCGAGTGTTTAGAGCGTTTTGAGCGGTATGAGTGCTTTGAGTGGCTCTATCTTAAGGATGGCAGATCCCGGAAATAAAAATGAGACTTATCGATGTGGAAACGCATTCTTGAACGTAGACAAGGTACATAATGCTGTGCAAATAAAACTGCATTTTATGTACGAGAATTGTTGAGTTTCATACGTACTTTTTTTTAGTAATCAACCTACTAGAAGTGCAATGTCGATGTGAAAGGTAACTTTCTATCTTACACATGCATTGTACTTGTGATAAGAGAGATAGTTGATGACACTGTTTGACGCCTTGAAGTATTCTTCAGTGTCTTCCGCGTGGAAAATTTGTGTGAATTTGATTTTGCTCAACTTTTCGCTATTTTTTTACTTTCAAATTTTTTTTCTTCACAGAGATTGTCTGTCTTTAATGGACCAAATTTCCACACAAAAACTATGAAACAAGTCCATCATCCTTCAGTGCAGTTCTGAAATCACATTAAGAAAATACAATTCTGACTAAGTCAGACTCAACATCGATGGCTAAAGTTAAAGTATACCTATGCATTTTTCCATCGTAACGTTTCAAAATCTCCAATCACACTTTACTTTTCAAGAAAAGAAACAAACCAAGATATTCTCTTGATATTGTCCGTGGATACATTTATAGGAGGGACAATACTTCCCAAAAAAGTTCAAGAAAAGCTTTTGATTATTAACCCTCTAAAAAAAATTCAATTTAGTAGAGATTTGCAGTATCGCAATCAAATAGAAGCATTTTTACACTTTAGCCATCGCTGTAATTTCTTTAGGGTGATCGTACTTTTTCCCTGGTGCCTATTGAAATTTCACATTTGTCATGCCCTTTAATGAACCATTCGTTATTCTTCATTTCCACTTTTTAAGAGAAATAAAAGTAGATGTCGATCTGCCTTTCCGCTGAAAGACGTTTAAATTCTTACCGGATAGTCGGTGGTGACGTATCCGACGATACCAATTTTCAAACCATATCTGGTGACGATGTGAGAGATTTGGATGAAAGGTTCCAGTTCGGGTTCATTTGAAGCATCAACATTCGAAATCACCGTCTTCACATTAGTTAGCATCGTCAAATAACTGGCCGCTGCCTGTGGTCCGGCTACATCGAACTCATGGTTCCCTATCGTCTAGATATGAAAATAATATAAAAATCAAAACACCTGTAATCACATTTCAATCCGCAAGGGAAGTGGATACTTATCGCGATATGGAACAAATTTTTCTAAAATACTAGCTTCAGTTAAAATCTGTATAAAATCCATAACCTAGGCCTCTTATAAAGTCATTGCCCGAACAGCATACCAAAAGAACTGACCGTCTTGAAAGACGTTTCTTTTTAATGTTAGAAACAAATTTTTAGGAAATAATCAAAACATATTCTGATACCTTTATTTCACGGGATTGTGAATTACTGCGCCATGATATTTGCAGTTTACTTTAGAGGTTTTTAATAAGAGAGATTATTATGAGAAAAACCTGAAATGAACTACATTTTTCGATTGGGAACTAAACTTTATAGCTCATTTAGGAATTGTGTATGTGCCTTAAGTTTCTCTATGCTGATGGTTGCTCCTACAGATGGGCCAGAAAGAGTAGTTCCTCATCACAAAATGTTGTCCTGAGGTTGTTATAAACTTAATGGTGCGCCGGTTATTGCAGAATTGGTCTGTATCTCTGGATAGTTCCGGTGTGGACTTTCCTTAAAACTGTCACCCAGTGTGATATACAGCAGATCATTGGACGGATTCATCAAGTCCCATGACCCTAACGCCTGAATACAGCTATTCAAGCTCATGTGCTGTCTGTTTTGTATATTCATCGATATGAAGGCGCTTCTCTTTTTCTAGCGGACTTAGGCGTTTCGCGCCACGGCAAATGGTCGGTGATGAGATGCTACAGCTACACTTCCACCCGAAGAGCTCGTAATCCCCTCTCCTCCTTTCTTACGGATTTTTACTATTCTCTGTACAGATGGCTCTCTGCTCCATGGTCAGCATTAAAATGATGAGGGGGGGAATTTTTTTTTTAAAAATTAAAGAAAAATTGGGTGCCTCTGCAAGAACCTACCTGCACATCAACTGGTAGCAAGTTCATAAATTCTGCAGTAACATTCCACCGGAAAAGACCAAACCACAGGGTTCCTGTGAATACGTCTCCCGCATTGACGACTAGAGCACTCGGATCAGACTGCTTCAATTCCTTTATTTTTGCGTGCATCCGGGCAAACCCTCCTGAATCATGGGGTGAAATACACAATTTAAAAATTTAGATTAAATTGTCCATTTCAAAAATCAAAGTGCCGGAGTGATTTCTAATGTTTTCAATATAGTTACACGATTTAGGTCCGAAAAAAACTGTTAAGATTTGACCGCTGAAAATTTTTGGTTTCATGAGAAATTTAATAATGAATGAATGGTAAAACTCACCACCTTCAGGAAAAATTTCGCTGAATTCCAAAGCAAGAAAGCCCTTTACCGGTCGACTAAATTACACGATCGCATTCAATTCGATTGCGACCTCGTCCATTTCTTAATTTCCGCATATATTTAAGTTCTGGTAAAAAAAACCAAGGTAAACTAAATGTGTCCCTGTAAGACATGATAACGATCACTTGCCAGACTTTCTTCATGTTTTTGAAATTCAAAAATGAGGCATGTAATTCTCAAGACGGTCTGGCGTCACTGCGGAGTATTATTTGCCGGATAGGTGTTTTTTTTTTTTTTTTTTTTTTTTTTTTTTTTTTGTACAGAAAACAATTTTGTACAATAGATATACTTAGAGACATTTTGAAATGTCTTTATAAGCTTGTTTTAACTGTATGTAACTTAGGCCGGATAGGTATCGAGTAACTGTTCAACGAACAATATGTTTCCTGTTCCTCCATCACATCGCAGTACCGTGCCCATACTGCTCATCTGACATGTGCTTCTCATGACATTAACGCATCATTGTTTTGTCTTGAATAAGTACTTGAAAATAAAACTCTTCAAAAGTTGCAGGCAAGCTATTTTTCTCGGCTCTTCTCGAAGAGTCATTGTATAGCGTTGACACGTGGCTACAGTTGAAAACTAAAATAAACTCTAAGAGAATTCACGCTTGAACGAAAAGCTAAGCTCAGATTGACTCCAAATTAATAGAAAAGGAACCATCGAAAAAATTATTCCTTTCTGTACCAAAAGTATTTACGCGATTTACTCTTCATATCGACGATGTAACTCCCAAATCACATATCTCGTTTGCGGTGCTTTAAATTGTCCGCTTCTATTTTTTTTTTTTTTGGAAGGAGAACAGACCATTACATTCTTTGAAGTTTACACAGAATTTCCTTCACGCAGCGAAGAAAAATCACAAAAAATCAAACGAATTAGAAAAATCGAAGTTCTTAAGGGTTGATGTTAAAAATAGTTTTCTATTCAAGAACTACGGTATGACAGAAAGTCTGCAACATCGCAAACCGAGATACGTGGTTCGGGAGTATCACTGTCGATATTCTTCTTGCTAGAAAAATTTTTTGAAGCTATTTTAAAAAATCATGATTTGGTCAATTATTGTTATTCAAGATAGGTAAACATTTTAAAAAAACCTTGAGTCTTTATCAAGCGTCAGGATCGCCTCTCTCGCAAAAAATTTCCGAACCACGACTTTGGAATATTGATACAAGACGCATTTACCCATATTTCATCACACATTGCTTCCAATAAGTCTGATTCGACCGAAATCAGGTAAGCGCTTAGTCATCTATAATTAACCTGAACAATGGAGAGGTTAAACAAATTAAGAAATAAAGGAAATCGGTCCATTACCTACACAGGTGTCTTGAATATCCTTTGTGCATCTGCCACCTTTATTTTGTGGGTCGACTGTATCGAATCTAGAATGAAAATCATTAAAATGAATTAAACTCAACTCAGCTGCGAATATGCTTTTGATGGACACCAAAAGCACTACACTCAACACAAGTTTTAGGGGCATCATTATAATTGTTCTACAGGCTACGGCTCCAAACTTTAAAAAGAGGACGGTTTAAAGTTTCACTTTCTTTAATCGAATTTGCACTTAAATTAATACCCAAAAAACACTAAGCACTCCAAAATGTTTGAAACACCCAATCGCGGCACATTATTTTAGACTGATTTATAGAAATTTAAATTCATTGAGCCTGGGAACTATTTCCACGTTAAAGGCTAGCTAGAAAACCAGCATCTAGCCAGCTATGATGATTCCGACATAACGTCATGTCATCTGAACTGCGAATGACCCTTCGATTGACAAGTAAAAGAGCTATCTTCGCAGCATAACTAAGATCCATAACACTTCAGGATCAACAATCTCGGCTAATCGGAAGATTAATTTTTAAAACTCAACTTGCAGTATTTCAAGTGTTGCTGCGTACCTACATCTGAATCTCTTTCCTAGGCGTCATTTCTGTTTAATAGGGTTCTAACCATAGTAGTGGAAACTGAGGACAATCTATTCAGCAATTATTTTCGATACTATACCTTGCGGCTCAAAAAAGATGAGAGGATATTGATGTAAGTAGTGTAAGTGCCAAATAATCTCTCAATTGAAGCAGATTAGTGATTTTCTTTAATAATTGAGATTATAGTGATTTTGCGCCAAAATTATCAGTCAGTATGTAGGTAATTGCAAAAAAAAAAAAAAAAAAAAAAAAAAAAAAAAACCTCCGAATCTAAAAACTCCATGTACTCCCGTACTACATAATTCTGGTGTTAATATTTCCTTAATTATTTCAATGTTTAATGATTTATTGTAATGATTGCTTTCGGTGCCTCTCTTCTGTGTTTTCTCTTGAAAGTAAAAATAGTGTCAAAAGCATTGACGTTGGCAATGAAAAATGAGGCACGAACCTCACCTGCATGATCAAACTCTCCAAATCACCGTTTGATGTCATTGGAAGGCCGCCAAAATTACGTCAGAGGTATCGACCCAGTGACGGTCATGCCTCGTTAAATAAACATTAGTGCATCATTCAATCGTAGGTATCGCCCTCACTAAGTATGTATAGACACCGGAGAGATTAACGCACAGTTGTAACTTTATTTAAAAACTAAGGGGTACGCCTCCCGACCGTTTCGCGGTCCAACCCCCCCCCCCCCCGAAGCGCTTCGCTCCTTAGGCATTAAGCGTTACGCCTTACTATTATAATTTTATATTATAGAGTATGATGCGCATTAAACCAAGTGTCAAGCGTCACCTCTTGGAAACAGTCTTTCCAAATTATCTAGAGGCTATCTGGCATACTTACCCTATACGCACCGCGTTCAGGCCGAACTCAACAGAGGAGAGCATGCAAATCGAGTCGACGTCATGACCAAATAACTTATCTGCAGCCCGATTATTGAAACTATGTCAGCCCGACACGACAAGACATAGCCCTATCTCAACCATACAATATATCGCAATTCGATGTCTTATCAGGCTGCTTTTAAATTCAATAATCGGCCCGCTGATTTGGTCATGCTAACAGGATGATGGCAGAAATGCTGCCACATGAGATGCTTGACCGGGATGTTCCTACCGGGAGGAGCTGGAAGGGGACGCCCAGTAAAAGTGCGACAGTAGGGGATGTTAGTATGTTACCCGAAATGACGGAATATCGACTCCGTGAAGGGCTGTAGGAGTAGGAGGGAGGGGCTATGCTGCCGTGCTAAGGAAGAACGCTGTATGAACATTCGAGAGTTGCCAAATTTCCCGTGATAAAACATATATTTTTGATAACATTCATGCATACTTTTCTTTGAAATTTTCAGATATTTTAGATTAAATTGCGTACAAAATTGTTTGAAAATTTTGTAAAATAATATTCAAGATTTTCCTAGTTAATTCGGTTTTTTATTGGAGGAAATTTTGCAACGTCTGAAGGCTCATACGGCATTCTTCCTTAGCACGGTAGTATGTTGGTCGAAAGAGGGGCGTAAAAGCAGCTTTCGTATGTGTGCAGTAGAGTTTCGATCATCCGCGATTTTTTGTGGGTGTCTTTGTTGCGTTTTGGTAAAGTCACTAAAATACCACTAAAACACTAAAATAAGTGGTGAAATAAATTAGATTTGTCCAAGGAACTTCTTCTTAGATGAAACATTTTCAACAAGTAATTACAGTTTTAACTAGATTTGTGATATGTTTGACATTATAGAGTCTTTTAGAATACTGCTTTTTTATCATCTTTCCTGGATAAACAGCCTAGATTCGGATTATCCGCGAAATCTCTAACATTGGTGGATCCAGCAAATTGGCAACATAGTATTTTCTCCATTTAAACCTATGGAGATGTATCAATTGTCGGAGGGGCCAGGTGTTCCAAAAAGAATCGATTATTTAACATAGGTTTAAATGGAGGAAATCCTGTGTTGCCAAATTGGTGGATCCGCCGATGATCTCCAATCACCGCAGATTATCGAGACCCCGCTTTATTCGCTGAATTTACGCTCATGTAGAAATTCTTTAAGAAAGGGCGTTTTTACGGATATAAAATAGCCATTGTGATGAGCTCGACAAGGTTGATTGGTTGATTGTTACAGCCAATAACTATGCTAAGGGCAATCATGCTTGACGCAATCATGTTTTTTTCTCTTTTTTTCAATTTATTAATGGGCTTTAAGCGCTTGGGCGTATCCAACAAAATTAATATTGCAGTTGATGAAGAGGTGTGAGGTCGATGTTTATACCTACAGTAAAAGCATGTTTGAAAATCTTGCTACTAGTTACGTGAAAGCCCCTAATTTTGCGCAAATTTAAGTACTTTTGATGAAGTCTATACTACATTGCTTCCTCACTTATAAGCCTACCTACTCGTCTTGTCATGATCTCCTTCAGCGTGTCATCCGCAATAAAGGATTAAGTCTTGTCAAGAGGCACTTTTGTAGGAACAAAGGGCTTTACGTCAAATCACACTATCATTTTTGGCTTGTCTCACTAATGAACTTAAACTTGTCGATGCTAGGATACATTCAGGGGGCTAGAATTTAGCTTAGAGTTCAAATCTTTTCCCTTATCAGTACGACTCGTAATCCAAAAATTTATATAACGCTGCCAAACATACTAAACCATACATCAAGTACTTTCAAGTTTCAACCCACTAGAATAAGAAATGAGGCTTAATTTGTTGGATTATTTTTTCAAAAATTATTAAACGGCGTCGAAACACAACATGGGTCTTTTAATCCCCATTTTTCAATGCCGCGATTAGCCTAACGCGAGTTCGAATAATCGCCCCGAACACGGTGCGGTCGGTGTAGAACTCATATCAGTGCCTGCAAGACTGTAGGAATACCTTACGCATTGCGCCAAACAGTGCGGTCGGCGTAAAACGCCTATTAGCGGCTTCAAGACTGCATGAATACTTCTCGCATTGCACCAAACGCAATGCGAGAGTTATTTGGGGTAACTGCTCAACCGCGGGTATAGGCACATTGCCGCTAACTGGATTGAAGGCGCATCACATTGTGAAGATGACTCAACACTCGACTAATAGTGTAAAAACAGGGAGGCGACGTCCTATGAGCCATTCTTATGGGAATTTAACATTATGAATTCAAACTCGCCAAAATTCTCCCGCCAAGTCTCCTTCCCGGCGTGTCTCTTGAGCCACGTTTATGGGATTTTACTATGGAAATTCAAATACATGGTTTATGACCCATCCTGATGCGACAGGAACTCAAATACGCCGCCCCACTCACAACACACCACGTATATGATACAGTACAATTGAATTTCGCTACTTTAAAATTGTAAATAAAATCAAGAAAAATACCGTAAGAAATCCGCGAATGAGACGATGAAATTTGGCAAACACTCCCTAGGAATCATAGACCCAGCGATTTGCATAAGTAGGAACGAAAAAAGGCTTGCACCTGCAAAAGATAGTCCACGGGCGGGAGGGGAAGAAAGATAATTAAGTGCAAAAAAAAATTACACTACCGAAACTTTAATCAGCTTAGAGCACAAGGAAAACCGCGTAAAAACATAACTTAGATGGGAGCATAAATGAGTTTCCAGCAACAGTCATATAAACTGTCAAAGAGAAATGCAAAGAGGTAGCTGGGAATACCCGTCCAACCAATTAACCATAAACTCCCCATATACACATGAGTAAGCCACGCGACTTACTCGTTTTTAGCAAAAGGCATACAAGATATCGCCAAAAGCTAATTTAAATAATAAATCCACCAGGCCCCTCAAATCTATCCTCTATACTATAAGCTCCAAAATTTTGCCTTATAACTGTGTTGTGCTGGACGATTGTCTGGCAGAATCGATGTATTTAGATTTGATTTTGCGGTAGATTTCGCACGGGCGTCATGCAAACTTATTTGCATGCGCCTGCATGCGCTTATTTAAATTTGACCAAAATTCATACCTGCTGTCTGCGAAATGTTGGCGACTCCTATACGGTCGGGCCTTGAGCGATTTCGTTTCTCAAATCAGTATCAACTGTCTGGAGAAACCGCCGAACAACTCTATTTTTTCAGAGTTGTACAGAGTTGATTATAATTGCGGAATCGGGTTTCAATGATTTGCAGAAAATAGATCCAACACTGCTCTCAATTCATATTAGGCAAATTAAGAAAATCACATTTCCCGTTAGAAAATGTCACGGTGAATTTTTGACGCGATTCCCTAAAACTTCTCTTTCATATGGATAAAAATAAGGGCAAAAATAAAGTCATTTTAGGTAACTTAAATTTTAATTCATTTCCGTCGTCATCGAATAGTTAAAGTGCAAGGGTGTATCATCTAATTAACATACATATTTACAGATCCAATTGGAAGAAATTGATAAAGTAATCAAAAGAAGTAACAATATTACAATGATCAATCACGCCATCACAAAAACGAATGTTTAAGGCAAATTTAAAGCATGAGATTGCACGCACTGGAAAAAAAAACACATTGGATCTAGAGTCCAGACTCTTAAAAACATTGACAAGATAAAATACTCTTGATTCAATCAGAATCTAGCTTAAATCAAGAACCAAGCCTCTTAATTTAAGCGGATTTCGTTTTGATTCCAGCAAAAATCCGATTGAATCAATAGTATTTTTTCTTGTCAATGTTTTCAAGAGTCTGGACTCTAGATCCAATGTGTTTTTTTTTCTAGTGCGGAAAACGCTATATTTTTTTACAATCTAACTGCAGCAAACATTAGATACCACTTTTGTGTGGACATGGGTGACTGACCAGCACAAGACTGACTTAAAAAGTCAGTTAGTTCAAGAGATTTTAAACACAATGTAATACAAAGTTGTACATATTATCATTATTATGAGATCGTGCGTTGTGAAGTAGGTAAGTATGCAAACTTTAAGCGCCAGGAGTCCGAGGTAAATACGCAAAGTAACGATGTTCCATTTCCCAACAGCATTAAATTTTTTTATGAAATTCATTCCGCATTCAGTTCTCTTCACATCATTTACGAACATTCGAGAGGTTTAAAAACAGAGAAGAAAAACACTAACGTTGAATTGTTCAGAGGAATATCATGAAAAAATATTAGAGTTGGGTCAAGAGACATCGCTTCCCTGTAATTGAACTCTTAAGACTCGTAGCTCTTAGATTAGATCGTTATGATAAGTAACGGAGGTAACTAAAAATAAGATGTTACAGGAACATGTTAAAATATACACTGACTAAGGAGACCGCCGCCTCTATTGCATTTTTGAATTAAAAGGCCTGAGGAGTGAGGGGCCCTCCATGACTTTGATTTGTAACACTTTGAGTATGAGTTTATTTATTCGTTCCCAGCGACGCGTCTTACGTCGGGAACACAAGGATGGACTGGGACTCTTCCCCAAAGACAACCCCCAGAATAGCAGATATCAGTAGGGTTCCATTTTAGCAAAGATCATTCAACATTAGGTAAGACCCCCCCCCCCCCCATCGAAGGAACCCCCCTCGTCCGCGAATAATTCAAACCCAGAATTCTTTCAAACCGAATTTTTGTGATGATCTCAAACAGAAGGTTGCCTGAAGTAAAATCTCAAATTGTTCAGTAAGTACGGCAAAGAAAGCGATTTTGGTTCAAAAATATTGTTATTAAATTTTCAATCCTAAACGCTTTCTAATACTCTGAAGTTATGAATTGTATCCTTTAAAAAAGGGGCGATAACGCCAGCAAACTATCAACAGTTTTTCGAGAACATTCCTTATTTTTCGTCCTCAAACTTGAAACTGCTCCCATAGAATCAATAATTATTTTTCTCTCTGACATAGGAAACACCGTCTCAAATGCATATCGACGCATAATTATTGAGAGCACGTATCTCAACTACAGAATTTCAAAATTCCCTTCCGTATTTTATTTCTTAGTTTTTACCGGATATTCGGCCTTGAAATTCTTACAGAATGATCATGACAGGATAAATGAAAAGTCAAGAAAATATCAAGATAACAACAAGCTGCTTTTTTCTTAAAAAAAAATGAAAAAATTAAATACGCGAGGAAGTTTGCAAAACTGCATTATAAGATACATAGTTTCAAAGTTTAGACATTGATGTCTCTCAGCAAAAGATAAACTGACATCAACCTAGGTTGCAAAGTCCCTTAGGGTCCTAAATCCCTTCTGTCTTTCGTATAAAACTGAAGAGGCGTAGAGTCTAATTCGAGTACGAGTTCAAATAGTAGAAAAGACATAAGATGAGGGTGGCGACGAGACAGACACTAGGGCGACTTAGGTTGGCCATCGAGTGTGTGGAGATGGTCTCGCAAGAGTTGATCGGAATGTGTCGGGTGTTCACCAGAAGCCATTCGTATCCCCGTCGCATTTGCTCGTTCAGGAGTCCACCCACCTCGTGCCGGATCCGGTGGTTGTAGTGGTTCAGCCAAACTTTCTGTAACATTGCCAAACGTTATACAGAACACTGGAACCATTGATACGCTCGAAACACAGGGACATCATACAAACCGACGGTGTAAGCCGGCAATCACATAACTCGGGTTGCGACGTCGCAGACTTCCTGACATACTTTATTTTTTAAACGGAAAACTACTCGACGGCAATTCTTTAAAACTTCCGTGATTTTTCTTCTCTGTGCGAAGAAAATTCTGCATAAACTCCATGAAATGATATCAATTTGCTCTCCTTTAAAAAAAGAATATAGAGGCGGAGATTTTCAGACACCACAAACGAGATATGTGATTACGGACTTACGCCGTCGGAATGCTATGCAGAGCAACAGATTGATAGCTCGAAGCACAGGAAAATCATATACATACACGCCAAATATCTATGATCAATAGGAGCAAAGGAATAATTGTATTTAGCAAATGGGTGGTTTTTATACGAGGATTAAAAATAAACAAGTGGTACGGAATATAACAAAATAATATGAACTATGCAAAACGATAATCCGGGTATCGGAACTTGGCTGTTTTGAAAACGCCTTCAAATGCGGCGTGATACCTCACGCATTCCGGAGAGTTCAAATAGTTGTATCATTGCGCCGTAAGAATGTGACGGAAGATTAAATTGGAAATAGCCTCCATGAACGCTGGGCTTGTCGATTTATTTCGACATTTTTGCAGTCGTGAATGCATAGCTGAATTGCGCTTCAGCTAGAATTTATTGCCCTTCGAAAAACAACGAATGAGGGACTCGATAGTGAAGGCACGTAAGTACAGTTTTTGCTATTTCGATCCGAGAAATACGCGTTTGAAGTCTCAAAATTACATGGATCCTTATGGTGGAAAGAAAGTTCAAACTGACTGTTTGATGCTTACATGTTGGCATTTGGGAGCGTATTTTTCGCAGAATATGCATTATTAAGGCTAGTTTTACTTGAAATCATTAATATCTCAATTTTTTCATAAATTGAACTTAGGCACCTTGTCCTCCAAGACCCTCAAATGTCGTCAACCACCGGGATAAAGTATATCATGGTTTCCATAATTTTTAATTCAGCGATCAGATGAACAAAAGTTATTCCACGTCCACTATTGATGAATTTGATTTGAAAATCATTATACCTTTTATGCTCGACCATGTTGAATGAAGTCTTCTACTGTGTTTTTCGAGGAGCAATATGTACATCTTCAACATCTTCATTGACAGAGGGATGTATAAACTTGACAGATTTTGTTATTTTCTGCTTATTGGGTACATATATGTTATTATCATGAAAAGTCGATTGCATGACTAGAGCAATTGATTAGTTTTAAGTCATATTATATGAGGGATTTTTCTATTAAAAACAGCATAATGGACTTCTATACGATGCAATAACATACTGTAGCTCCTAAAATCAAATCAAATGATCTGACTGACTGAGCGGGAATGAAATTAAGTTCTATGTAGCTTACTTACCTGCTTGCAGTCTAATTTATTTACGTCGATCAATTTTTGCTCAAAAGGCACGAGGGTGACAGTGTGGAATGCAAGGAATGCTTCCGAAATATTCTGAAATAAATCCGCAAGAAATCAGTATGTGCCTTTGTGTATCAAATCATATTTGGACCGAGTTCATCAGAAAGAAACCAACCCACATTAAGTTGAAACTGAGAAAAAGAGGTTTAAAGTTTCGTTCCTGCGTAAGGCTGAATGTAAGAAATAAACTTTAAACCCTCTTTTCATAAAAAAAAAAAATGTTTTTAGACTTACAGTTTTTGCCAAGAGCTAATGTACGGCGGCGAAACTCAAGATCATTCTTAACTCAATTTTATCGAAAATATGGGTTGGTTCCTTTCTGATAAACAGCCTATTTCTATATGAAACAGGATCGAACTCAAAACTCGATTGATCTGTTTTAAATGCTATCTTACATGTTACTTCTGGAAAAGAATTTTACCTGAGATTCATGCATAAAAGTTATAAAGAATATTCTTGAAAGAAGAAAGAGGCACAATTGAGGTCGACTTCCTCTCTTAAAGAAAGATAAATTCAATCAGTTTATTTTTCCGATCTAAGATACTCGATGGGCCATGGCGTTGAATAAAGACCACTGCCTTAGAATTTATTAAAAGTAAAGCGAAAGAAATGATCAAGTTGTATAAGAAGTAAATACAAAGAATTGAGGATATGAAACTTCTACTCACACTTTTAACAATCTCGACGATATTCTCAAGCCGCACGCCGAATTTTCCATCTCGATAATATCCAGGTTCTAAAAAAAAGTGTACAAAAAATATCAGTATACTATCAACGATTAAAGCTCCGCATTCACATGAATTAGTTTGTTTATTTATTGCGAGCCATTCAAAAACATAATAAGGCTAAGTCGTGTCACAGTATCAGGGCAAGGAAATTTAAAACGCCTTCAATTTTCCGTATATGCAATATGGGCATCCATTGAGTGCGAATAGTTGTATCAAGGCGCTAAAGTAAACGGCACGTTGCGACTGAGAGATTATTATCTGGATAAATGATTCATCTGTCAACGAAACTCGATCTTCTATTCCTCCTCCTAAAACTAACACTATCTACACCTGTTAAACAAGTAAAATCGGCTGTCAGACTGGTTACGTTAAACATTGTAATCACATCATCATTATAGATTTTTTTTATGAGAGATGATTGAGATGCGTTTTGAACTTACCAATGGACACAAAATGGCCTTCTTTGAACATGAACTTCTCCGTGATGTGACCTGAGATGAGGAGGGGTGCTGAAAATTTTAAGTGAAATAATTTAATTAAGCTTCTCAAAGTTCAGTAAATCAATTAAAATTCGATAAACTGTCCGACATAATTTTAACGAAATAAACGGTTATAGATATCACGAGAACATTCTCGGCGGCATTTAGGAGTATCGTGGGTTCGTAGGTGTAGAGTGTTAGAGTATTATAAAGTGTACCGCGTGTATGCATGACTGTGTGCTTTTCGTCAAAATTTCTCGGGAAAGTTTCCACTTTAGATCCCTGTTAGAGAACCCAACAGATTTATGACTCAGAAATGTTCATAGTTTTCCTTTTTCAAGTATTAAATGACAGATTCCTCGGTTTGTTTACACGGGGGAAAAAAGTATCACAATCTCAACTATACTCCTAGCTGATTTTAGTGCCAGGTATTACAGTAGTTGCACAAGCCAGAGGTATGGTTAAAGTCAGCTGGAAGTGTGGTTGGATCAACCATACCTCTAGCTGGTACCCTCACAGTTAGCATTAGTGCGGTTGAATTAACTATACCGCTGGCTGGTGCCTTTACACTTCTAGCTAGTGCAACTACTCTTATGGCTGGCGCCAAAATTCGCTAGAAGTTTAGTTGAGATGGTGATACCCTTTTTTTAGTGTTGTCAGGCAGAAAAATGCAAGAAAGAAGCATCTTCGCGGATGGATAACTGGATTGCATTTTGCAAAAAGGAACCACTAGCATTGCAATGATGCTGCTGATGCTGATGATTGTGCAACTTCATCCTTTGCAATAAAATTGCGGAAATCGTGAAAAACTATGAAATTTAGATGGTAATTTTTGTCTTAAATTTACAGTTTTTAGCGAGTAAAATAGAAACTATTAATAGATAATGGGGTTTTTCCTCCAAGACAAAAGAAGTTGCACAATCTTAGCAACATTGCAATGCTAGTGGTTCCTTTTTGCAAAATGCAATCCAACTTACACTCATGGATTGAATTGAAGGTGCCAATTCCATGGCCGGTGCCGTGAGGATAGTCGGCGGCCATTTCCCAGATGGGAGCTCTCGCTATGGAGTCAAGGCTCTGCGGGGAGCTGTCCTTCGGGAACGGGGCTGCTGACAAGTCGATCAGGCCCATGAGCACCCGCGTGTAAGCAGTGATCTGTTCCTCGGTTGGAGTTCCCAGGTGGAACGTTCGGGTCACGTCTGTCGTGCCATCTGTCCAAACAAAGGAATATTAAAAGTAAAATACATGTAATTTTAACCATCGACACTGCGAAACGGAACAGACTCTAGTGGACGCACAAAAAATTCTCAGAGCACCTAAAGGTACGTCAAGTTAAAAATTTCCTCATCTGACGTATCGACGGTGTAAGTCGGCAGTCACATAACTCGGTTTCCGACGTCGCAGACTTCCTGCCATACTTTATTTTTTACACCGAAAACTACTCAACGGCAATTCTTCAAAACTGCCTTGATTTTCCTTCTCTGTGCGAAGAAAATTCTGCAAAAACTTCAAGGAATGATGTCATTTTGTTCTCCTTTAAAAAAATAACATTGAGATTTTCAGACATCGCAAACGCGTTATGTGATTGCCGATTTACACCGTCGATGTATTTGGAATTCATTTTGCCATTCGCGCGGACTACAACATCTGGATCATCTGTAAAACCACTTATGTGCATGAGGAGACTAATGGTGCATACGTTGTTTCTAATCTAAGCTAGAAATGACAGTTCCTAAGCAAAATGGAGTCCATTTGAGACAACTGGAGTTCCCGTCGTCCCAATGAAGTTCCAGCTGTCGCAACAATATAGGACAACCAAACGGACAACGGGAATTCTGGTTGTTTTAAATAAGAAACTTAAATGAGAAAATTATTTACAGGTAAATTTTTCTCCGTGTGCAATGAGGTCCGTTTTTCAGACAAGAAATGTTTGTCACATTTGGTCAAAAAATTAGAAGTTGAGTATTCCGCGGATATATCGTAACATCTACTACGAGGGTTCTTCGTAAAATAAGGTTCCATCTTTTATGATCATCGAAAAGGAGAAGAAAAATCAAATTCGTGAGTAAACTGTGTGTGATTTTGCATACTATCTCATCATTCTTAGTCGTGATTTTGTGTAAGAAATTTGCAGTGCCTCCCTTCCCTCCCAAAAAAGTTGTCATGTGCAGAACGTTTGCATTATTGGATACCATCAATGGAAAACCCACTTCCATTAAGATCCATAGCTTACCGTAATAATGCCCTCCTGAGTCGATGAGCAACATGTTGGATTTATCGACCTGGACATTGGTCAAATTGGACGGCACATAGTGAGGTATGGCTGAATGCGGCCCGAACGCAACGATTGTCGGGAAACTGATACCTCTCGTCAAATTTTCCTCCCTCCGAAACCGGTTCAATTCCCGCACCATCTTTAACTCGTCCCAAGTTTCGTGGTCCGTATCCAAATCCTGGAAAATTGACAATAATAATAAAACTCGCCCATAAAAAAATATTCATAGGTAGACGAAATTTGAAATGACGTTTCCTAATCGATGCGATCACATGCATAGAAGAAAACACATGAAGTTTAAACATTTTCCATTATTTGTGACAATGCACAGAAAAGTTAAACTGGTCGTAGTGTACTGATTTATGAGGAAAGCCTGGTTACCTTATAACCAGGCTTACTATTTGGAACAACTTTCGCCTTTCAGACCAAATACTTCTTGGATCCTGCAAGAAAACGTGCGTATATTCCATTTGGTTGATTGTGCCTCCAGTTATTTACATCACAAACAAGAGATTAAAAACTCGCACTTTTTCAAGAAGAGAAGCCCATTAAGATACATCACTCTGTGGTAAGAAATCAGACATGAGATAGAAAATGAAAATGAAAATCCACGCTTCACCATGCTGAAAGAATACCTTTGTCACGGTCAAAACAAAGGAGATAGCATTCTTTTCCACTTTCAATTCCTTTCTCACCCATCCTCACTATCTTTCAATATCTTTTTCGGCAATATCCTCCGATAAAATCCCCCTTCTGCCCATCAAATTATTTTTGCTAGTCGCATTTTATCCATGCATCTTTTCATTCTTACTTCCGCAGTTCCACCACCATCTCTAGTGAGTAGACCCCCCCTCCCGACCTCCTCCCGGGATAAGTCTAAAAGTTGAGTTCCGAAACAATGGATGATGCGCTTTCTTAGAGGCAGACAGCAAAATCGCTCATAAAATTAAATAGACCCTAGATGACACCAAACACCAGTCGAGGCATAGAGCTACCCCTATCCGCGAGCTTTCTAGGGGCCTTTTTGTCTCGAAAGTCTTACTCTCTGCCAGACAAAGGGAGCTCGGTGCATGAACATTTGAGTGTTGCCAAATATTATCAATTCAAATATTTATAGCTTTGAGTAAATTTATCAATACAATTTCGAGATATGCTACCAAAAATCGTAAATGAAATTATTTGAAAAATTTAGAAGAAATTAAGGAGAAAAATTAAGATGATTGATTCACAGAATTTTTTTCATCAGCTTTTATTTTAGATAAAAGAAGTTGATTTTAGATTACGCTAGTGGCAAAATCGCGTTTCTAATAAAATTTACATAGGCATAGAATTAATTACGTTCGATAAACAGAAAATCTTTGATTCACATCACTCCATTCTCTAAGGAATTGAAAAAACGAATGAGACATTTTTTTTAAAAAAAAATTTATACTTTACCGAGAGAAACTTTACAACATTTATTTTCATGCGTCGTTTTTTCAGCACAGCAGCATTAAAGTAATGTTCGCACATTGTGCCGCTGTTTAGGAGGAGATGTCGCTCAGGTACAAAAGGGCCTCGTAATTGAACGAGCCGAAATTTCAGGGAGTTTAGATTACCTGCTGCATGGTGCGCGTGACGAAGGCCATAAAGTCGCAGATTGCAGCGGCGTCCCGAACATGGGCTCGCTTCATGCCTGCTCTTTCCACCTCGTTTTTTTCGGCCTTCATCGCTATGATCGGCGAGACCGCTAAAAGTCGCTTGTCCGAGCGAACCTGTCACAAAAATTTCCATTCACTGAGTTGAAAATGATAGCTTAGCAAAGTTCATTTGTAATGATATATCTGTCGCAGGCAAATAGTGAAATCAAGCATTTTGTCAAATGCCTGGGCAGATAGTCAAATTTCGACGGCCTACAAAATTTTGTGAATTTATGGCGAAGAGCTCACGATTTTTCACTATTTTTGGAAAAATAACTCATCAAACCTACGAACTCTTTTTGTCTCTTCCTCTTCAATTGTTTCTCATATCACTAAATGCTGAAATTTCAAAAATTCTGTATTTTTCGACCTGCTGAAAATGTCAAGATCAGTGTCTCTTCAGGAGCTATAAATTGCTTAAAATACTATTGTGTGTGCAAATTTTTACTGAGAATTTTTTCTTGCATGAGCAATGAATTATTTTGTCTGAAATTAGGAAAAGAATCAGAATTTCATTCTAAGTTGGAATATTTGACTATTCGCCTAGGCATTTTACAAAATGCCTAATTTTACTATTTTCATGCGACGTATCGACGGTGAAACTACCAGACCACGTATCTTGGTTTGCGACGTTGCAGACTTCCTGTCTTACTTTATTTTTTCAATGGAAAACTACTCAATGACAATTGTTGAAAAATTCCGTGCTTTTTCTTCACTGTGCGAAGAAAACTCTGCGAAAACTTCAAGGAATGATATTGATTTTTTCTCGTTCAAAAAAATAAAATGGGAGCGGAGATTTTGAAACACCACAAATGAGATACCTGGTCTGAGGGTTTCACCTTCGATATGCGTAAATTACAGGTGGGAATAACTTGAGTACCATAATTTAAAACACTTAAAGTATTCGAAAATACACCCTTGCTGCAAAAAAATAGTTTCCCGCAACCTCCTATACAATGCTCCAGTGACCGCATAAGTTGGCCCGAGCACAAACTTTTCGGGAAGAAATGCTTTCCCCTTCCTGGTATTTCACTTAATACCCGCCCGAGTTTCGCATATCTTTCGTTTCTCCTCATCGCAGCTTCCATCGAATCGCAATTGCCCGGAAACTAAGACCGCACATCTTATCTGATAAAATCGTTCGCCCTTTAGACCGATTCGATGAGTCGATGAGTCAACTGTTAGTCTAATTTCATTACGTGAATGCAGAAGAAAAACGGGGTAAAAGCAGGCCCGCCACATCCCATCTCGGGCCCTGGTACCAGTTTTCCGGCCCGGGCCCCTAGCACAGAGGGGGTCCGGGGGGCCTCCCCCGGGAAATTTTTGAAAATTTAAATCTATTTGGACGCATTTTGAAGCTCTTATGGTGGAGATTTTCTATCAATTTCTGCAGAATAATTACCTTTTTTTTTACTTTCAGCACCAAATACTTTCAAATTGTTGCATTCAAAACATCTATACATTTTTTTTTGAGGGGGGCAGATAATACTTTTCAATTCTAGGGGGAGCCGGGCGCCGCGGGCCCCCCTGGACTCCCCTTTCGCACGTCTATGGTAAGGGAGTTGAGCCATTGAAGTCGAGGATGCCCAGACAGGAGCCTCTTAGCATCCGACAACGAAAGAAAATGAAACGCAGTTACTAAAAATATCATTCTACATATACTCAAAATCTTGAAAATAGATAGAAATCTCTAAAAAAGTAAGAAAAATTTTATAGTGCCCTAGCGTGTTTTTGAAACTTTATTCACCTTTTGCGGAATTTTAAGGGTAATTTTTCACTTTTCCCTACGAGACAAGGGTTACACATGAATTCGTAGTGGTTTGTCACCTGCGTCACGGGCCCCTCCAGGGCCCGGGCCCCGGTACCAAGGACCCAGTATCCCCCCCCTTGTGGCGGGCCTGGGTAAAAGAAAACACTAGTGCGTGATCAATTTTCAAGGACAATTCTGTAATTTCTCCTACGATTTTAAATAGATTAAAACGCGTAATATCCAAAATCTAACAATAAGCTCAGATTCGGATTCCTCGTGAAAAATTGATGAGATTTCATGTATCATATGTTAGAATAGTGTGAGGGAAAGAGGTTTAATGACGTAAAAAAAAACACTATGTGTGATCAATTTTCAAGGACAATTCTGTAAATTCTCTTACGATTTTAAATAGAATAAAACGCGTAATATCCAAAATCTAAGCTCAGATTCGGAAACCTCGTGAAAAATTGATGAGATTTCATGTATAATATGTTAGAATAGCGTGAATGAAAAAGGTTTAACGACGCGTATAGATTCTGTCGTACTTCCTCTTTGAACTACGCCGCCGCCTGTCGCCCGAGTGAAACCGAACGGGGAAGCGCCAGTTAGCGCCGGCTGAGCGTTCGGTTTCGTCGCGAGGAATTCCTCGAGACAAATTCTTTTTCTTCCTCCTCCGCTGACCCACTGAGCACTACCCATGTTGCCACGTTGCATTCATATGCTCGAATCAGTATGCCTACGTTACGTCTCTTTCCTTCACGCTATGCTCGAGTATGATACATGAAATTGCAACGATTTTTAACGAGGAATCCGAATCTGAGCTTCGATTTTGGGTATCACGCGTTTTAAGTCAGATTTTTCCACATTCGAAAATCCAAAATGACGGACGTGGCTTAAAATGCTATCTCGGCTCCTGTTCGATGGATTTTTCTGAAATTCGATGTCAGGGTATGATACATCAAATCGCATCGATTTTTTACGAGGAATCCAAATCTGAGCTTCGATTTTGGGTATCACGCGTTTTAAATCAAAATCTGTCAAAATTCAAAAAATTCAAAATTCGAAAATCCGAAATGACTGAAGTGGCTTAAAATGCTATCTCGGCTCCTGTTCGATGGATTTTTCTGAAATTCGGTGCCAGATGGTATTTTTCAACGGGAAACTCGAATTTTTAGTCCATTTTTGAAAATTCTCAAATCCAAGATGGCGGTCGTGACCTAAAATGCTATGTCGGCTCCTGTTCGATGGATTTTACTGAAATTTGGTGTCGCGGGGTATTTTCCGACGGGAAACTCGAATTTTTGGTCAATTTTTGAAAATTTTCAAATTAAATATTGCGGACGTGGCCTAAAATGATATCTTGGTTTCTGCATGTTCGTTCGAGTTTTGTGTTTGTTCTACGGGGTTTTTTTCGACGGGAAACTCGATTTATTAGTCAATTTTTGAAAATTCTCAAATCCAATATGGCGGACGTGGCCTAAAATGCTATTTCGGTTTCTGTTTGTACGAGTTCCGTAAAACTCAATATCACGGGGTATTTTCCGACGGGAAACTCGAATTTTTAGTCAATTTTTGAAAATTCTCAAATCCAAGATGACGACGTGGCTTAAAATGCTATCTCGGCTCCTGTTCGATGGATTTTTCTGAAATTCGGTGTCTGGTAATACTTTTTGACGGGAAAATTGAATTTTTAGTCAATTTTTGAAAATTCTCAAATTTAAGATGACGGACGTGGCCTAAAATGCTATCTCGGTTTCTGTTCGTTCGAGTTTCGTGAAATTCTGTATCACGGGATATTTTCCGACGGGAAACTCGAATTTTTAGTCTATTTTGGAAAATTCTCTAATCCAAGATGACGACGTGGCTTAAAATGCTATCTCGGCTCCTGTTCGATGGATTTTTCTGACATTCGGTGTCTGGTGGTACTTTATGACGGGAAAATTGAATTTTTAGTCAATTTTTGAAAATTCTCAAATTTTAGATGACGGACGTGGCCTAAAATGCTATCTCGGTTTCTGTTCGTTCGAGTTTCGAGAAACTTGGTACCATTGATCTGAATAAATTCTTTATTTCAAATTTGGGTAGTTTGAGCCTTATCACTTTAGCACGTCAATGGAAAATTTTCGGTGATAGGCAGGGAAAATGTACCTCTGGGCCAGTGGCGTAACGGGCGCCCCCGCAGATCCTGCTATGCAAGGGGGCCCAGGCGCCAAGGGGGCCCTCGGCCGCAGGAATTTTTTTTTTCTCTCTCTTTGATGCTTAGCTTTGGTTTCAAACTTTGGGCCTTTACTTACCGAGATGGGGCTTCTTCCTCTGATTTTTATTGTTAGCTCGGGGTTTTTCATACTTCTTACGGACTGTTCCGAACTTTTTGCTTGCTGGAGGGCCCCTGCCCTCCAATGTCCACTCAGTGATTACTAATTTTTTTTTTCTTTTTTTGTCACTTTTCGTATTTCGGGCTTTGGGAGATCCAATAATCTAAAGGGACCCCAAGGCTCTTGGGGGCCCTTTGATCCTTGGGCCTGGGCCCCTCTGTAGATCCTTGGGCCTGGGCTGGGCCCCCGCCACCCTTTAGATCCTTGATCTTTTAGGGGTCCCATATAATCGGGTACGGGATCTGGGACGGTGAGGAGTGAGGCATTCCAAGTCCAAGTCCGTGATTTGAGATGCCTCGGGCCAAAAAATGGGAAGGGGTGCATGGGAGGGGGGATAATTTTGGAATTTTATCGACATGGGGGGGGCTAGAAAAATTTTTGCGGGGGGGCCCAGAGGAAGTCCGTTACGCCACTGCTCTGGGCGTAATGGTTTCGTTCTCTGCTCAAATTGAAAAATTAAAATGAAGAAAACTTCGGTATCTGAAGTTGGTTTCATTGTGGTATACTGAGTATTGCAACGAGATAACTCACAATACAAAATGAAGAAGAGACTTTCAAAGATACCTACTTTAACGTCGGCTCGATTACATGGTATCTTGTGGACCAGGCTCACTTTTATCCTCTTTTTTTTAACACGATATTTTTTCACTTTCTGCCGCTATTTTTGCATAATTATGTATCTCAAAACGAGTAAAAGATATTTCAGAATGTTGATGGCAAATACCCATCATGCTCTCTTAGCAATACGGCGCTTTTTCTTTCTATAGGGCAGTGTCGGTACGCATTCTTATGTTCATCTCTCCCATGTTTTAATAAAGAGCATACTGGAAACAATTCGCACTTTTCTGATTGGTGAAACAAGCGAAAAGAACCACTATAAATGCTGAATGACACCTTAGATGACGTCATTCTCTGAGTTTTTCAATGGGGGATGATACCAGCTCCAAAGCCAAGGATGTAAGTCTTCTCTGGATTTGTTGATTTAGCCATGCCTGATTTTGGTGAATTTTCAATATTTACTGAAAATTCGGAATTTTTAAACGAATTTTGGCAACGCCTCAAAAATTTGGAATTTTTCATGAATTTTGGCAACGTCACTAAATTCGGAATTATTGACGAATTTTCACAACATCACAAACTCGAAATTTTGTGAATTTTCAGAAAATTTTGAAGATTTAAAATTTCGTGAAATGTTGCAACGTTGTAAGAATTGACCATTTTTAGTTAAATTTTGCAACGTTGTAAACAAATTTGAGTTTTGCTGCTTTGACAACGCCCTAAGCTATTCGGGGCGGTTTAGTTTGGAAATTAAGTTGCAACATTGTTGCAATAAAAATGTAATTTTTCTTTCGATATTAACGCTGAAAATCGGCAGAAATTGACAAAATGTTGTATGAAAATTGCAACTCAATAGAATAAAAATTGAAACTTTACTGCAACAATGTTGCAACTTTATTTCAATAATTTCGTTAAAAAATGTTACTTGGGGCGTTAATGTACATAAAACGTAAAAGATATGACAGAAATTGGTAGCAAAACGGGTATACGGAGATGCATTTTTTGATGATCCGCATTATTAAAGTGCTTGGTGTGAACCATTTACAGCGTGAGAGGTCCTCATAGTAACCCAAAAAAAGGAACATAACTTTTAAGAACGCATTGTCAGTTAAAACTAACCGCTGAAACGATAGCTCTGCTGGCGCCTGGACTGAACACCGATTCTGAGGGCAGTAAAACGCGAGTCCATGCCTGGGAGTCAGTTCTAATGTGCTCAAAGATACTTTCATAGGGCTTGACTCTGAAAAGTAGAAAAAATTCGATCAAACTTCGTCAAATTACAAGAGCGTGAAAATAATAAAATTAATAAATATACTAATTGATTTTCTACAACGTAAGAATCGAGTAAAATCATCCTTATCATCCTTGCAAAACTCAAAACACTTGATCTAGTGTCACCCTGTGGCCTTTGCTCTATTCTTACAAGTGATAATACCGGCGAAAAGTTTTAAACTCCTTCATTTTAAGAGGTATGCAATTCGAGAGCGCAAATAGTTTTATCACATCCATGTTGCTGTTGTGAGCATCAACCCCTAAATATCAGTGTTTGCTTTAAGTTGCGATTTGATCGGAGAAAATATTGCAATTTTATTCACAGCGATTTATTGAATATTATCTGTTAAAAAATTGCTGTAAGTTACGATTTCATCGCACGATTTTTTAATAAAATCGCGATTTTATTGACAGCACTTTATTGCAATAATATCAAACAAAGATTCATTGGGATAAAATTGCGATTTTATCGAAAGAAATTTTATGGAAATGAAATTGCAACGAGATCGAGGATAATCGCTCAGATGTTGATGATCCCAGCAAATATATCGCAAAAAGAAGTTCGTAAAAAAATCGCAAATTAATTTCAAAATATCACGATTTTTCTATTAAGAAATGCTACTTGGGCCATTGCTTTGCCCACACAAGTGGGAATCCGCGGAAAATAATGTGCTCCTTCATTTCAGGAGTTATGCAAATTAAGAGACTTGGAAGTTAAAATGATTGTACCACGCACGATAGTTTCATTGGCGTCTCCGTTTCCTTTGACAAATTTGATTTCAAGGTGGTACCTGACACAGAAGGCGTTGACACAGTGGGATGTGTGGAGATTCCGGTGAACGGCCGGAGTAAGACTTTGCTCATCGGCAAAAAGGTGGATTTTGTCCTTCGTGAGGATGACATAAGCTCTCAGATACGGGCTGAACTCGTTATCATAACCTCTAATGTTGAGGAGCCATGCGATTTCTTCAATCGCCGTCACGATCATGACGTCACAGCCCAATTTTTCCATCTCACGTCGGACCCGACCCACTTTGGTCTGCCACGTCGCACCTGAAACCCATCAACTAAATCTAAAATTAAACGCACTTAAACCGCTAATTCTAAGTTCAAATCGCGCCTTTTTTTAAACTAATGTAGGGTTTGTTTATGTTTGCATTGATTTTAAAATGAAAATTATAGGTTGCCAAGGACTGGACCCTCTCCGAAACAAATAATGAGAAACAGAAAAGAAACACCTCAAAGCAAGGGGTAATAAAGAAGAGAAATTGACTACCTGTATAATTGAGGGGTACATTGTACGCTTCATAGCTCGGAAACGCAGTTTTTGTCCAAAATTGGTCGATGAGATTGTTGGGGATGGCTTTGAGTTCGATGGAAGCATTGTACAGCTTCCTCTCCCAGGACTCCCACAACGCGTTTGGGATAAGATGTGGATCAGCCCCGATCACGGTTTTCGGTCTCAACTCATCAATGAGCCAATCCTCAGGAGTGGGAACCTGTAACATGCGTTTTTGAACACTTTTAATTTCCTAAAATTTCTGTTACTTTCTAGAAGTTGACTTTTGATGTGAGCTGCGAGAAGTTCGAAAATGCAGTTTTTTAGCGTGTGATTGTGGCGAATTTCCCCAAAATCAAATATCTAATTTTGAAAAAGCTTGTGAACAATTTTCCTTGAACTCATCAGTCATTAAATTTCGCTGAACAAATTCGCTAAAAAAGTTTATTTTTACAATTAGCGGTTTTCCAGAGAGCTCTCCCCGGCCAAACACTAGAGAGAATATTTTCATAGTGCTACGTATAGCACGACAGAATGTACTAGGGGGCTACGCCCCCTGGCCGCTACGCGGCCCAACCCCCGGAAGGCGCTCCGCGCCATCAATGGGCCGCTTCGCGGCCCTATTTTTACCCTCCTATCAGTGTTAGTTTTATTTTTCCCCTAAAAAATTACGATATGAGGTAAACTTTAATTTTAAACTTTACTTAAAATTACTTTAAAATTAAAAGAACGCGTTTTGGAATGACTGCTTGATGAAATATTGCAGTAAAACAATGAACAAAGATAGTCAGGTAATAATTAAAATTTCAGGGGTCGGGGATCGAACTCACACCGAAAACAAAGTGGACGCAATCAACGTCTTAGACGACACAGCCACCGCTCCACATAAAATCGCTAGCGCGAATCTTGTGTAAATAAGAGTAGAGCTGATGCGCAGGCTACCCATCTACTGCGCAACCTCCTCGACCACTGCGCATCCTCCCGCGCATAGCGGTAGCAGTCCCGGAGCACTCTGTAAATTCACTCACTTTTATAACGTGATTTTAAAAAAACCTGGGTCCTTTTTCCAAAATCTGATTAAAGCGGGCTCATCTAGAGCCTATTACCTGTCGATTTACGCAAAAATCATGGAAATCGGCCCAGTAGAATGCTCAAACGAACTATGACAAAACACATAAATTTACATTGTTTATATGGGAGAATTCGCAACTTTACCACGTAATATAAAAAAACCTGGGCCATATTTTGAAAATCTGAAAAGAGTTGGCTTATCTAGAGACAATTGCCCGTCGATAGCCGCAAAAATAATGAAAATCGGCCCGGTGGAACGCTGGAACTAAGCGTCACCAGTTTCGCAAAATTAGGAGGTCTTGGAGCTTATAGTATAGATATGTATAGTATAGATATCAGAACCTCGAGCTTCAACCTCGGCATCAGCACCTGATTTCGGGACACAGAGAGCGGAGATAACTCGTTAACGGCCATACCACGTTGAAAGCACCGGTTCTCGTCCGATCACCGAAGTTAAGCAACGTCGGGCGTAGTTAGTACTGGGATGGGAGACCGCTTGGGAACACTGCGTGCTGTTGACTTCATAATTTTGCTTCATCTGAATGGTAAAACTTAGTACTTAAATGCTTCACGTTTGATTCATTTTTAAACATTCCCACGCGTATTTTGATTTCAAAAAAAAAAAAAAAAAAAAAAAAAAAAAAAAAAAACCAGCCAACATTTTTTCAAAACCAAATATTTTCGAAATTTTTCAGGAATAAATTGCTCATTTACGGTTAGCTGTTTTAATATCTCCATCATAAAAGTTGTGACAAGTTAAATCAAGGAGGTTTTAATAATTAAATTGTTCGCATTTTATTTAAAAAAAAAAATTAAAATAAACAATTTTATCCTTACATTGGGATTTCCGTGACGCATCAGGAGCCATTCGCAAGAAAGTTCCTGATCGGCTTGCGTATGATACAACCCGTTGACCCAGAGAGCCGCTTTGGTGTTGGTGACAATTGCCAATCCTTCGCTCCCGCTGAATCCAGACAGATGTTTGAGCCGCCTGTCGTGCTCTGGAACAAACTCGCTCTAAAAACCGAAATACAAGTACAGCTGGTAAACTCCTATTATTAGAACAAGTAATTTTGTTATCATTATCACAATGTTTATCATTACAGAACGAGTACGCCGATCTCCATCTTTTGACACAGGAAAACTATGCCACACTCTGCTCAGTTGCTACTCACGGTGCTCTTTAACTTCTGTCATTTTTAATTACGTCAATCGGGGTAGCGTTGGGTCAGCCTGTATTTTATATTTTGGATCTTTTTACTATGTATTATTGATGAAAATTATGCTAGGTCAAAAAAACAAAGTAATAATAGAAATTCAATAATGAGTTTGGTATTATTACCGCTAGAAAGGGAGATATAGTCAAATGAGGTAAATATATACAGTGGACCAAAGATACACAGAAACGGTATCGTTACCCAAGTAGCATTTTTCAATGAAAAAAACGCGATATTTTGCTATTTTATCGGCGATAAAATCGCTAGGATCATCAACATCTGAGCGATTATCCTCGATTGTGTTGGAATAAAATCGCGATTTTATCGCCCGACAATTAATCGCGATATTTTCGAAATAAAAATCGTGATAAATGGATATTTTATTTCGATTTTATCGACGCAAGTTGATCGCGATTTTATCGAACCAAAAATTGCTATGTGTAGCGATTTAATCGCCATATATCGCAATTTTTAATGCGATAATATCTCGATATATTGCCACCGATATAATCGCGATAACCAACCGATAAAATCGCTATTTATCACGATTACTGCTACTTAGGTACCACGAATGACTCTCCTATCTCCGCCAGTAAATATGATACCTACATGAACCCCCTATGAGCAGCTACATGAGCAGCCTATGAACATTGAACGGCAAAGATTTATCATGTGCAAGGCATATCGTCTGGCCAAAAAATGCAGGCGCATCGCTTTAAACAACTTCCGACCTCACGCTAGTGACCAATCAATTTTTAGGTTACTTTTAATTATTCCCATACATAAAATATCGGCCTGCATGAGTTGTTTCTTCAAAAGGAAACTAATCAAAATATCACATCGGAATTGTCCGGGAATATTTTCACACGATTGAAAATGAGTCACGGAAAATTTCAAGAAAAACTGCTGATAGTTCTCCACGAAAAAATGTCTAGGTACGTCCATGAAAACAACCAATGTAGAAAACAAATGGAAATGTAGACTTCAAAAGTATTACTCATGAGAACAAGTGTGGTGTTCGATCGTCGGCCATTTCTAGCAAGCGGACTCGACTCCTTTTGCCTCCCCCCCTCCTCCCCTCTAAACTGTTGACTCCCTTCCTCCAAACGCTGTCCAAAGTGAAATCATATTTGGACTGAGTTAAGCAGAAAGGAACCAACCCACATTTTGGAAAAAATTGAGTTATGAGTGGTTTTGAACTCAACCACTGCTCTAATATCTATCGCCAAAAATTCAAAGATTTTGTTGGAGCAAATTTTGCAGAAATTGAACTTGAAGTTTATCTTTTACATTGAGTCTTATGCAGGAGTCAAACTTCGAACCTCTTTTTCTCGGTCCGATCCCGATGTGGCTTGGTTCCTTTCTGTTTAACTCCGTCCATTTAATGATGCATTTTGATATTGGTCTTGCCATTGGAGGAGGATGGCATGATAATTACCCAGGTAAAGAGCAACTCACCAGCAAATTTACTGACCTGGTGTGCATTATGGGTGGTTACGATGTATGCGTCAATTAGAGGGGCTTGTAGTGCCAGCCAGTTCACCATTAATTTCCGTAGGCTGCAGATAAAAAAGAACATTTTGTTAATAAGAAAGACTTACAGAACATATTTGACCCTTGAAATGACAGGGTAGACAACAAGCTAATCAGACATTTATTGTAATCGCAATGTGAAACTGTATAGAATTCAGAATCTTTAATTTATTACAATTTTGAATGATTCACGCCAAAATGTTTGCACGTCCTCAAAATACCGTATACATAATATGAATTGAATTTAAAATAGTTTTAAAAAACCTGTTCTGGAAATTGCAATGCAAGACTTAAATGGGTTTCAAGGATCCCCATAAGTGTCCGAAATAGAAACATTTACAACTTATCAATTTCATCGGTAAGCAACGAACTCTCTTTGAAATGTTTGGGTGGGAGGGACAAAATTGACATAATTGAAAATGACGAGGGAAACATTGAGGACATGGGACATAACTGAAGGTGATAAATAATGAATATACCTACTTTTTAAGAGCATCGGTAGAGTTGACTCTGTTGGGAGGCTGCGGCTCATCTTTATTTGGCGGGCACAGTAGTCTATTTGTTGCATCAGCGTACGGAAATCCTGACTCAAGATCGCGACTTAAAACTAAAGGTAGCATAACTGTAACATAAAATGAAAGTTCACGTGTAAGTACGATAGCTGAAATGTCTTATGTTAATCTCACACGCACGTCGTTTTGTAGACGGCTCCGAAAGGTTTTATCAACATTTATGCAAAATTAGACATTAATGAACAAACATCCTATCTGAAAAATCTACAGCAGAGCAGACACAGGCAGTGTCATTAACTTTCCTCCGTAAACATTTTTAAGGGGAAACGCAAATTTGAAAGAGGCTCCGGACTTGAAATGCAATGAGTAACACATTATGTTATCAAGGGTGGAAAAAATTGAAAACGCCCTGGCTTTTTCAATGGCTGAGTCTGGATGCAACTATTCGTGTCCTCAGGATGTCCGTGTTGCATACACAAAAAATTGCAGGCGCCTTGGCTATCTTAGGCACAACGTGTGGCTGCGGTTGTAAGCTCTCAAGGATTTTATACGTTGCGTTTACAATCGTGTTTACCATGACATCCTCGAATTTCCGCTTGTAATAAAACAATGTGTCTCTCAATGCATTCATGCCTCGTCGTTGCACGCAAAAATGGCGGTTTTAGCGTATCATCAAATTAGGGGTGTTCAAACGAATTCTTGCCGGAACACTACCGACATCGTCTCTTATTGAAACTGGCGGCAGTACCGACAGTGGCCATGATATCGACAACAGCCGGCCTTATCGGTGTTTTGAGAGCTCGCACTCAATACATTGTTGCCCCGTGTGTCGGTTTATCAGATTGCCTGGCGCGGCGGCGCGTAAAATAGATGTACAATTGGCAACAGCTTATTTTCGCCAGCTCCGAAAACTCTGATCGCTATCGGCAAGAGCGCTCTTATCGTAACTTTTTCTTAACGGAACTGTTTCGGTGGCTTACCGACAACCGATTGAACAGCCCTACATCAAATTAGAAAGATGAAATTGTAAATAATACACAGATAATTGTATAAATCAAATTGAGACCATTCATGCGGCAATTTCTCGCCTGAATTTATCAACCATTACACATCTTCTTTGAATTCTCTCATGTGATTAACTTAAAAATATGTAAAAATCGTATCTTAATAATTGTTTGCCACATTCCGTATGTGGTAGCGTTGCCAAATAGAGCACTTTAAGGGGCCGTTGCCGATAAAAACCAGCGGAATCACGACCTATCGTGATCATTGTTATTTGCAAGGTGACAAGTTCCCTCCGATTCGAAAATTTCCTGGCATTCCAGATATTTCGGACATGGAAATCTCCGGTTTAAATAAGCCTACCAATGCAATACTCATTGTCACTGAAACCAGAACCTTGTTATCGAAACAACGACAGTCTTATGTGGCTAACGCGGGAGTCTTGTCTTGTAGATCAGATATTACGAGGGATTCTTGTAATGTTCACAAGATGGTTTTCCCGAACAGGGGCGAATCCAGACATTTTTCATGGGACGATTGGGGGGGGGGGATTCAGGCAAATACTCCTGAAACTCACTAGGTACGCCCTTTTTGGAGGGGAAAATTTCTGGTCATTTGGGAACCTCCTGGCTACGCCGCCGTTTCCGCACGTGAAAGATGCACTGGAAAAAAAACACATTGGATCTAGAGTCCAGACTCTTAAAAATATCGACAAGAAAAAGTACTCTTGATTCAATCAGAATCTAGCTTAAATCAAGAACCAAGCCTCTTAATTTAAGCGGATTTCGTTTTGATTTAAGCTTAAATCCGATTGAATCAAGAGTATTTTTGCTTGTCAATGTTTTCAGGAGTCTGGACTCAGTGCAGAGTCAGCCAAACTCCACCATTCGTTGCCTGATTTTCTCTCATATTGTATTCATTCAACGCACACTGGAAAAAAAAACACATTGGATCTAGAGTTCAGACTCTTGAAAACATTGACAAGAAAAAATACTCTTGATCCAATCGGATTTTTGCTTGAATCAAAACTAAATCCGCTCAAACCTAGAGGCTTGGTTCTTGATTTAAGCTTAAATCTGATTAGTTGACCAGTGTGGTCATAAAGTTGTCCAAATATTAATGAGTCTCGTAGAACAATCCACTGAAAACAGGTGTAAGACGGAAGGATAAGAGTGGGCTTCAGTTCCTCTTCGCAACAGCCGCGACAGGCCGGAGGGACTTATCGTCGCTCCACTGACGGAAGGGCGTACCTCAGTTTCCATGCGAGCCCTGTGCTCCGTAATACCCGATGCGTTCCGGGGCTCATGTGGAAATAGCCCTTACGTCAGAGGAGCGACGCTATGATCGAGCGACCTATAACGCCCACCAGCGGCAGTATTTACCTACTTGTTGTCACCTCTATTGGATGCGCGCAGATCTAAACAAATTTCTAGACTGTATCAATGTCCGGGCCGAGTTTAACAGAAACTAGTGTCCGAAACTCACAGGCGCCAACACGCCAAATGCGCCTCAGAAATCGGTGATGGCGCCTAAAAAATGACGACTCTGCGCCAACGTTGCCCCTAAAAAATTACCTCCTTCCCTACAAAAAAAAGAATCTTAATTGTTCTGTTTAGTGATTTGTCGAAATTTCCCCCTCACAGCCATTCACAGCTACTAGTTCTGTAACCAAAACATCTTGCGTCTAGCTTTTCACTGAATGCGCTGTGATATATACCCAGGCAAAAAGTGAATGTGGCCCCTAAAAAATCTTCAATGGCCCCTAAAAATCAAGCTTGATGCGCCACATGGCTCCTGGAACTCAAAAGTGAGTTTCGAACACAGAACCCAGTAAAGTCATTTCATTAAGAAGAAGGGGGGGGGGGCNAGAATTGATGTGTCGCTTGCCAAAATTTTTGAATTTTGGGTTTAGGCCCTTTAGGCCCTTTGAGGCACGGGTTAAAATTTTTTTAAAATTTTTTCCTTTTAGGGGGTTCATTTAGAGACTACATAGAAACTTTTTAGGGGTTGACCAACTTGATTTTCGCAAAACTCAAAAATAAGGCACACCCTAGGGGGCAGGAATTCAACAAATCGATCATTTTCTCTAGTCAAAGAGTCACACTATTTTGATCATATAAAATTTACAAAAAAAATTCAGAGGATTTGCAACTATCCTTGAGCGACTGGATACATTGTCAAATGAAACATAGCAACGTTGCAATACACTTTAACCCCTTGCTACCACCCCTTCCTACTTATAACCATTGCATTTGAAAGCTAAAGTCCGCGCTGATAACAAATTTACCTACCCTAAATGTCACAACTTATGTTCTCAAGAAAGCAGCAACTCTCTCTTCTTTTTTATCGGAAATTGAGGATCATCAAATATCAAATGATAGTCATTTCTATAGATTGCAAGTTGGTGCCTTGCATCTATAGATTGGTATCACACTCATATTGAGCTCCTGTTTTAACAGTGAAAACATATTAGAACGTCGACTATGTTGCTTTCCATGATGACGTTGGCAACACTGATTATTGTGCATCCGACGTAGGCAACACGCCCTGCATCCTCCACTCATGATCATGGACTTCGTATTGCTCAACTTTTATGGTCAAGGTCATTTTAAGAGGAGTTTTAATGTCATCTTCCGCAGTTCGAAGTTGTATCTAACAGTTATATTGAACAAGAACGGATCGCCCAGATCGAATTTTACTGGTTTCTGTATATTCAGAAGAAAATTTTCTCTATTCTTATTATTCTGCATATTAAGTACTGTCGTGAGATCTGCGGGAATGAATTTAAAGCAACTTCCATTAATTTCTCAGGAAGGCCAAAAATGCAATTTTAAGTCGAAATATTCCATTCATAAAATTTCACTTATAAAATGTTTCTTCTATTAAATGCGGAAATTCAATCTACGTTTGCTATTTCAACAACAGACGATTACTCAGCTATCCGTCGGATCAGGGCCGGACTGGCCATAGGGGCGGAGAGGCGATCGCCCCCTAAAAATTTGCCGCAGAAGCCCTGGAGGGGCCCCCGCGGCGATTTTTTCGATTCGTCGTTTTTTTGTTCCCGGTAATGTTGTAATTTTCCAATCCTTCACGGTCACTACCATGCCTCAAAATCCTTGAAAATTTGTCTCTAAGAGACATAAAAGGTCGCCTAAAGTTTATAATACAGAATATACAGGGAAATCTAGCGGGTCCCTGGGGCCCCAGAAATGATGAAGGGGCCCGGGCCTCCGAAGAATCCTGAGAATGGGATATTTTGAAGTTCAAACACTCTTGAATTTGACTAGAAAAATGCTTAAAATTGCGTTTAAAAAAGTGTGAAATTTTTAAAATTTTCCGGGGGAGGGGCCCCCGAACGACAGGAAGGGCCCCCACATCTAGGTCGCCTCTTAACTTTTCGACTGCCAGTCCGCCCCTGCGTCGGATTAGATGTTTGATGTTAAAACAATAACAATGTTTTTGCTGTTTGAAGACTCCGTGACGTACTAACTTTTAATTTTCCCTCCTAAACTGTTCACGATTCTTCCCGGGAGATGAGTGCGCGTTGTGTAAAAATGCGGCGCGACGGCACGAGTTATGTGTTATTGGGATTAACGCCGCGATATGTTTTGAGTTTTACGTTTTTAGGTGACTTCCAGATTTTTTTCGACTGAAATATTTTGACAGCAGGTAAAGGGCATCTACTTCATTTCTGCAGCTAACTCAGAACCGCCAAAAATCGAGTTATGTGATTTCCGACTTACACCGTCGATGTGTTTGAATGGGAAATGCCGCCAGATGACGTCACAAGACGGCACATTTTCTCACTTTTAAATCTATTTTTTTGCCCATGTCAGAAAAAAATCATGACCGGACGCAACTCATTATGCACTCCCAGAGGAAGCAATAAAAAATGTGTGTTCCAATTCTCCATTGGGTGCCATAATTCTCTCCGACGTGGATCGGCCTTCGCGTTCCTCAAAATCAGAATCAGCCCTGATTTGACCCACGGAACAAATTCATATTTCTTCGCGTATCAGTGCTCTGGGCAATCAAATCTCGGCGAGGCATGGCGAGAACAATGGCAACAAAAGGCGAGGGCGTTGCCATTACGCTCGTCCCTTGATCG